CATCACTGTTACGCGTTGTTTTTCACATCCCGAAGTTTTGATGATAACTTCCTTAGTCCCCTTCTCCGTAATGGTGTAGTTACGAGGCATATCAAACCAAATTGCCGTCTCGTCCGCGTTGTCAATTTGCCCCATTGAAAAATTCTTTTCCTTCCGAAGTGTGATGACATACCGCTGAAATGTTAGTAGTTTTCGCTCAAAATCTGCAGGAAGCTTTTGGCATATTGTTGTACGGCGTCTTAGAGATAAACCCATCCGCTTCATAAACCGATCCACCGCTAGCCTTAAACTCTTGTTTCGGTATTCCAAGAACTTCAGCCTTCTCTTCTGCCTTATTTCTTATGGTGTCACTAGTCACAGGTTGTATATTCTTCCTCCTTTCACGTACAAATTCCAAAACATTTTCTTCAATTTTAGGGTGTCTTCCTTTGCGAGGTCCAGTGAATTTCTTTCTACTAGTTTTAGTTGCAAACAGTGCCGATTTCTGTTGCCGCCACAAGCGAACATTGCTCTCAGCTACGTTGAACTCTCTCCCTGCCTTTCTATTGCCATTTTTTTTCAGCATAAAGAATTACTTTACGTTTGAAAGTAGTGTCATATGACATTCTTCTCTGTTTGCCCTCCATTTCGTGACTACGTACTCTGCAGTTTGTATCCTCTATGCAATAATGTGTCAAAGATAAATGTAACGGTAAATGTAGTCGAGAAATTTGGTTGACGTCATCGGCGAACTTTGCACTCGAATCTAATGCGCCATCGAATTTAATGCGCACCCCAATTTTGAATACTACATTTGGCCAAAAACGATGCGCATTAGATTCGCGTAAATACGGTATTTATTTTGATCTGGGTAATTTTGCTTGCTTTGAAAGCAGAAAACGCAAGGTCAGTATGTGTGGTGAAAACTTTTCTTTCTCCAAAGGCAGTGATAACATGTGAAAAGGGGGAAAAACTTCTTTTTTGTTCTTTCCTTATTGCGAGTTATGACTCATTCCCCCGGTTCTCGGACATTCTCTTCTGGATTCTTTTCGGCAAATAGGCGCAGCAGAAAAAAAAGGGAGAGACTTCGTTCGACCAGATGTGCGATCATGTGACTCTGGGTTCAAAGGTCTTATCTCTCCTGGCGTGGCGCCAATAAGTAGAGAAGGGGGATTTTTTGCTGTTTTAGCTATTTGTCATTGATCGCTTCTCAACTTTTTTTTCTCCGCTGTGTAAAATTTTTGTTTCATTTATTGATGCACGTGTAAATTTTTCGTTTCGTTTATTGAAATATTTTTTTATTTATGTACGCAAGAGAATTTCACTATGAAATATCTCGTATAAATAGTGATATTATCAAATTAGAAGAAGGTGTCCGGAATGCATTTAAGTGGAATTGGATTGAACGGAGAGATAGTAATGGGGATACCATCGGCACATGGTGCAAGAAAATAATGTTGCTGGACAAGCATATTGTGTTTTTTGTAACTCACTGCTGAAGTATGGTGGGGAAGGATTCAAGGCTTTCACAAATCATTCTAAAACTGTGACACACATAAAATATTCAAAGTGCATTAGACATTCAATAACTTTTAAGTAATTATGCTAATTCAAAAAATACTGATGACTTACTGGAGACTGATGCTCGGCCATTGGATATAGTGACAAGAAAAGCACGCCAAGAGGTATTAATAACTTCGTTTATCGCCGAAAATTCTCTTTCTTTCAATGTAGCTCCCAATTTAATTGAACTCTGCAAACAGTTGAGCCGCGATCAGACGGCACTAAACTTGTTGGAAATGTCCAGGACTACTGCATGTTATAAGATGAAATATGGGCTCGCAAAAACTATTAAGGAAAATATCATTAAAACTTTAAAGGAGACTCCATTTTCTCTAAATTTGGATGAAAGTACTAGCAATGCTCAAGAAAGTATACTGGCAATTATTCGTGCAGTTTTATGACAACAATCAAAATGAAGTTGTAGTTCATCATTTTGCATCTCTAAAGATGGAATCTTGCAATTCAGAAGCTGTTTTTCAGAAGCAGTTGTTAATACTATTGAAGATAATAATATTTCATGGGCAAGCTTAATAAGTGTATTAATGGACTCATGTAACACCATGCATGGAAAAAAAAAAAGGGTGTTGAAACCAGACTACGATCAAACAAAGCACCCCACTTATTAGATATTGATGGTGACACACATGTCACCACAGCTAATAACTGTGCAAAAATTTGCTTCATGTTTTGATAGATACTTAGAAGATTTGTTTGATGACATCTATTTTGATATGAAAAGCTGCAGTAAAAGAGAATTTTTTTTCAAAATCTGTGAATCCCTTGCCATTAAAAAACTTAAGCACTTGAAGAGACCAGACCATAGGTGGGTGTACATTTTATGTGTTTTAGAAAGAATCAAAGATTTGTGGGATGCTCTTATTGCATTTTATTTTCAGTACTTGGATAAAACTGATAAAGGGGATTATTTTTCTTGTGTTGAAACTGTATACAATAAAAGAAATATTTCTGCAGCTCAGAAAAAAATTGTTGAAGGGGTGTATAACTTTATTGCATATGGCATTATATTCAGCAGTATTACCAGAGTTCAACACATATATTAAATTATTTGAAACAAAAAAACCAATGCTTCATTTAATACATTCCAGTATTTATAAATTGATGGCAAAATTTTTCTCTTTTTTATGAAGCCAGAAAATATAGAGTGCTCATCTTATAATGATTTATTAAAGGTTGATGTCACAAATCCAGAATTCCATCTACCTATCAAAGTAATATTTACTGGTGCAGAAGCTTCCACTCTCCTGAAGAAATTATCAAAAATCATCCAATAATAGCAAAAGAATTCCAAATTCCTCTGATGAAAGCTTATACTAATACAGCACAGCATATGAAACAGAAATTACCCCTTAAAAATTCATATCTAATTAGTTTTACAGCATTAGATCCAGAGCTAAGAGGTAAAACCAGTACAATATTAGCTTTTGAAAAATTATCATCTTTTATGTCCCATATTTTTAGTGATAATGAAAAGTCAAAAGTAGAAGCTGAAATAAGGTTATACCAGAGTGATATTGATTTCACCAAAGAAATGCTCAACACATCTGATGAAAGTGGAAATCAAGTCAAGTGTACAATTGATAAATATTGGTCTAAAGTTTTTAATTTAAAAGATGATTTCACAAATGATTATAAGTATCCTACACTGGCTAAATTGGTCAAAGCCTGCCTTAGCTGCTTCCATGGCCCATTAGTGGAAAGTGCATTCAACTTAATGGATACACTTGTCACTGACTATAGAACCTCTCTTAAGATTGATTCCTTAGATGGAGTGCAGACTATTAAATATGATTTAATGGCTTCTAAAGAAACCTCATGTGAAAAGTATGGCTAAAAAAATCCAATGACTGATCCAATTCACAAAGATTTCTTACTGAATATGAACAGAAGTTGGAAAACATGTCAAGAGGACTTAAAAACATGTATTTCAGATGAGTCACCTATAAAAGTCTCTGAAAAACCTTCTACATTAGCAGAAAAGCAAACTGCTTGTACCTCTGCATGTGCAGTTCTCGAGGAAATTTCTTCAACTGTAAATGAGGAAAATAAAAGTCAACCTTCCTCCAATTATGAAGTTCACCACAAAAGAAAGACAATCCCACAAACATCAGAAAATAAAAAAAGCAGCAGAAATTAGATAATTTTTTTTAAAGAATTAATTCAGGTAATTTAAAATATTTACATAAAATGTAGTAGTTTATATGTTTGAAAATTTATGGTTATTAATTTTGCAAAAAAAGTAATTCATTGAACTTTTATAATTAGGTCATTCAATACTTCATAATTGTAATTTTTCATTTCTCTCTCCCCCCCCTTCTCGAAACTTCAAAATGTCGGTAGTAAGTCCGTAAAAGTTTCAGGGGATTTTTTGGGGTCCCACAAACACCCCTGATTAATAGAATAGAAATATTTTCTGTAAAACTGTAGTGATGCTTTAATGAAAAAATAAACATCACTTAGCACTGGCTTTAAATTAGGCCAGTATCTTGAGATCTCTATCTGTTGAATATTTACCATCTTGATTCTTCATATTTTCCTTTTGTTGTTCCAGACATTCTTTTATCTGATAAAGTGTAAAAGTGCGCTGTCACTCTCTTTCCATTCGACACAAGTCAATATTTAAAATGATTATTTTATAATTTATTTTAGATGTGCTAATTAAGTGGTGCTTCCCAAATATTGAAACAAACGAATATGTGTACGAAAGCAAAAGAATTCAAGCTTTGCAACCCATGTGAATAAATATGCAATTTACTGTAACTTCTGTGTAATGAGTCTTAAAATAAAACTATCCTAATAGGGGGGAAAAGAGTACAAAATAATTATATATAAATAAAATAACTGTATGTTAGATGAGTTAAAAAATAATTATGTGTAAATAAAAAAAATTACAGTGTGAGGCTTTTCACCCTTGATTTCTTTTGGAGCTTTCATATTGTATGAACCGTGATTTCATCTCTGTTTCCTTTAATTTATGCAAAGGAAAAGAAGGAATAGTGAATAGAAGTAACTGCAAACTGATATTTATAAGTAAGTAATAAAGTTCTTGCTTTAAATTGTTCAAAACCCAGATATTTCATTAACAATTTTGTAACAATAAAAGGAAACCAGAATGTAAACAAGAAATATATTTACTCATTCTGTTGCAACAACTATTACAGTTTAGACTTGAAGATATGTTGACTATTGCTGTACTTTTTTCATTCGTCCATGATGGAGAAAATATTATGAACGTTCTTAAGCAATATTTTCTACTTAAATTTACTACTTAATTAATATTAGAAAATAAGATAATATGCAAAATTGTGCCATCAAAATTTTTCTTCCAAGCCTTTCATGGTTCATTACTTGTACTTTGGGAATCATTGTTAGAGAATGTTGTATCTGGTGCATAAAATAAATTATGTTTTATTTATGGAAATTTTTTCCCCCTGCTTTAGAGTGGAATCCGTAGTTCCCTTCTTCTTTCTATGTTGCAACAAATGCTTCAAGAAGATAAAGATGATTTAGTCAGGGAAACCGTCGTAAAAAATTTAGCTTTGCTTCTTTTGTATGTGTATGATATGGATAAGTTTCCTAAAGTAAGTGGAGTTCATGTATTATAATATTCTTTTTCTCATAACAAATTTCTTTAAGAGCATTGTTGTTTATCATTCTCTAATCTTTGTTGTTGTACTTGCTGTTGAAGTGGTGGCTGTTTTTAAAATGAAGAAGACTTGATTAACACAATATTTAAAAAGAAGTATTAATTCTTTTAAGAATTAAAAGTATCAGGGCTGTAATTATGTATGAAATACTATACACCGTGAAGATGACATCCGTCCTAGTTCTTGCCGTACAGATTTGAACGTCATTTCTGCGGAAATCAGTTACATTGGCATACAAGGCCTGTTGTTCAGTACATATTATTTTCTTTTGTTACAAGATATTTTGAATAGCACAGTATTACATATGAACACTCTTATAACATAAATCAATACTATATATAAGTGGAATTATATTGTATGTATACACCTATATATGCATTTGGCAGTGCATTAAATGAATACTACAATTGGTGTATAAATAAGTCAAATGTGATACATTTAAGTGATGACAATCAATGTGGAAGGAATATTTTTACACTACAGAAATATATAGACATTTTGCAACATTGTTATTGGTATTTCATGTATTAGGTTGGCATATTTACTATATTGGAATGAACACTTATATTACGAAAGTTAGATAACTGTATGAACAATGTATTACACCGGATGAGTACAAATATTTGTATATGTCAAGAAGTTGATTCGATGGAACAAAGATTTTTATAACAAAAAAGTTAAATAACTAAATATATGTTAAAAAAAAATATATATAAATATATATATATGTGTGTGTTACCGTGAAAGACCGAAATTGGAGAATGTCGACTTTCACCGGAGAACGTCAACATTCACCAAATACGTCGGAGAAAGATCGAATATTGCATTACATTCTTTTACATTCGGACCCTCACCGGTGTATGTCGACAATCACAGATATGCTCTGGTGTAGGTCGAAAAGAGAGGTCATAAAGTGTTATAATAGTTTAAGTTGTTGCAATAAATAAGATTTGAATCACATAATTTAGTAAGTTTTTTATTACTATTATTTTATTTTCTCATTTAGAACGTACTGTATAATTAAGTAAGTTTTTAACTTCTATTATTTTCCTTTCTCATTTTGAATGTACTGTGTGTTTTAAGTTCTTATTTTAAGTCCCAAGTGTGTTTTTTTTGCAACTGAATTACGGAGAAGAAAATATAATATTCTTATATGTTCAATGTTCACCATTAGTGCATGGTGAATGTCAACATTTACCGTCCTAGTTCTTGCCGTACAGATAAGGGCCTAGTTCTTGCCGTACAGATACTGGTGTAAGTCAGAAATAAGAGTATTTGGAAAATATTTCGGACATACACCAAGCGACTATGTGAATGTTATTCTCCAGATTTCGGTGTTTCACCGTAACATATATATATTAAATACTTATGTTACAGGAGCTGAAACAGTAATTTAGCTATTTGGGGAATGACTTTGATGAGAGCTGTTCCAGGTTACTTCGTTTCTCTATTCTTGCACAAAATGCCGTATTTTTGAAGAAATGCAACACTTTCCTTTTCATCAGTGGCGAACTACTGTTACAGTTCATTATGACAGAAATAAATGTACTAAATGCAAAAAGAAATACTAATCAGAAAAATGATCACTGAATTTCAAAAGTGCAAATCCATGTGTACCAAAAACACATCTACTGGTGACATGGTACATTGTCTCATAGTTTTTTGGAAATTTCCAGTAGGGCTGCAGATAATCAGAATATACCTTTATTTTTTACATTTAAATTAAGAAAAAATTTTACTTTTGGCAAAATATTACCCCATAATAACAGTGTGTTTGTAATTGCTAACAACCAAATGTTTTCTAGATTAATCTCAAAAACCTGTTTGTGCGTATATATATATTATAAGTAAAGTTGTAAGAACAAAACTAAAAAGACCAATTTAGGTCAAAATTTTGTGTATTGTGCTGCAAAATTAAGGAAATTAGAAGATAAATTTTAGTAAGCTCGCCAAAAAGTTACCAAGAGCTGTGGCTCCAAGAAAACTCCAACATAAGCATATTCAGTATATATATATATATGTAAGAAAAATAAAGAATATGTAAAAGATTAAATCAGCAACGTAAATTTCCTTTCTCAATTCTAAAAATAGTAACCTGTATTTGCGCTGCGTCATTTCTAGAAAAATCTAATTCTGATGATGTAAATGGAACTGAAATCCAAAATTTAACCAATCATAGATTAGCTGTACTTTGTGCACCTATCTTGTTTAAATAGCTAATAACTGCGTAGTTTCTTTCTCGTCTATTCGTCTGCGTGTTGACAGCTTGTCGCTCAGCCTTAGCTAACTATTCGGCATTAATTAACATGTAATTGCATATTTAAAATTCTGGGATGTGCTTAGCACCCCCTAATCTTCTACAGTTATGTATTAAGAAATTGGTCATGGAAGAATAAATGATGTTTAACTATCAGGCTGGTCCTGCTTCTGAAATTTCATCCGATCATCCATTACGCCTTAATGTCCGACAATCTACGCTGCAGTTTTTCCGGCTATGACTAAATTGTTTTCATTTTTCACCAAAGGTACAATTATTACATATATATTTATATGTGTGTAAGATTTAAAAAATTATGTAAATCAAAATTATAACTTGTTAAATTAGCAACAGCTCCTTAATTCTTCATTTTAATTTAAATATTTCTCTTCTGTGTTCTAAAAATAGTAACAACTATTTCTGGAGTGATTCATTTCTAGATAATCATATCATATGACTTTTACTTAATGATGATGACATAACTAACATAGCTAATTTTGAACTTAAGACAAAATCTTTCTTTTTATAAGCTTCCATATTGTTTCTATAATGTTTGCTGCTTCTCTTCTATCAGCTGCCTACCAGCAGCCAAGCGGTAAAGTCGCTGAACACTGGTAGTTCAGTTTGGGGTTTGAATCCCAGTGAACGAGCTTGCTACATGGTAATTTTGATGGTTTTACCCATGCATAATGTACATACAAGCCAGTTTTCTATAGAAAGTCCTCCACAGCACAATCTCTTCTCTTAGATAACTAGCCGAGTATTTCGCCATAATCAAACAAGCCAATCTCTTACCACAGAGCTATGAAAAATGTTAAATGTTTGAAATAGACTTGATTAGAGTGCCAAGTGAATTGTGGTCAAAAATGTCAGTTGAAATAAAAGTGAATATTTAATCTTCCTAAGCTGTGAAGGTACTCTTCATTAAGGATCAACGTCTAGAAAAGGCAGTATTTCTACATCATTTACATCTAAGTCAACAGCAAAATTATGTATATATTATTTTTGTTTTCTGAGTCTGAAATATTTCTACATCATTTCTTCTAAATCTGCAGCAAAATTACATATATATAATTTTTATTACCTCAATCTGAAATATTATATATTCATTTTAAATCTCTAGGCTTGTGAACTTCTCTTTTCATCATTGGAAGATCGAAGTCTAAATGTAATTGAATCAGGTCTTAATGTACTTCTGCCTTCAATTGCGGTCTGGGCCCTAGAATTAGATCTTTTAGAATCTCAACTGTTTCTATCTGTGATGACAGTTTTGGACAACTATTTTAAGGTTTGAAATTTTTAATTATTTTCATGTAACTCATTTCAGATGTCTGAATTTGTGAAAAGCAGCTGATTTAATCATCCTTCTATAGGATATCCATGGGAAAACCTGTACTTTAGAAATTGGTAACCACTGATAATCATGTGAAGAATGTAATTGCTTTCCTTATGTTGTCAAAGTACAGCAAACTCATTTTTTGGCACAGTGCTTATTGCATGGGCTAAACTAATATAATATTATGGGTAAAAACTATATGCTATGCTAGAGAAAATACAAAATAGAATTTTTCACATTAGACAAGTTTATTTATATTTTTAGATGATTTGGATTGTAGTTTGCTGCCCTTCTTTTGGATATCCTGTAGTTCAGTTTATGAAAAATTAACTATTTATTTTTAAAGTATATATGGAAAGAAAGATAAAATTTTTAATTCATATTTTAAATACATTATGTTTCTAATTTTTAGCAGATATTTTGTAATTAGTAAAAAAACTTTTCTTGTGTTTTATAAGCTTTGTTATTAATTATTTGAACTTCAGGTATGTATTATTTTTTTCTTTTTGTGTATCTTTTGAAATTATTCATTTGTTTTTAGCACCATAACTTGATTCCAGGTCTTGAATGATGTACCTCTGCCTGTTGTGGTGGGAACTGTTCAGAATGAAGAGCAGCAATGTATTTTACTTGTTCGGGCTGTATCTATATTATCTCCATTTCTTTTTGTTTCTGTCATAATGTCTGGGCCATATGCTGAAAATCTCCAGGTCACAAGTTGTTCCCCATCTGAGGTGGATGGTAAGAGGACTGTTTTTGTTAGTTTGACTTTTGTATATGTGAAATATATTTTTCTCCCTTTTGTTACCTTTGTTGAACACTTTTGTAACTCTCTTTTGAATGATAAATTAATCCACAAATAATATATGACCAGTAAAATTAATAGAGTTAATAATCTGTAGAGTTAATTAAAAGGTTTAAATTTTCCCTCTCCTTCTTAATTATTCACTTATTGATCACATTATTTAAACTGTCTTTTGTATGAAAAGCTCAAAAACTGTTTATGATGTTGGTTTCTTTCTTGATAAGATTTTAAAATATAATACTGTTGATCAAATGAGCTAGCTTTTTGTTCATTTTGTTTGATTTTTTAATATGAAAAACTGCTTCTATGATTTTGAATTAAATATTATTTATATGTGAGTATTACCTTACTTAATAAACACTTAAATTTGTTGCAGTGGATCGCTTGCCTGTGTATCCAAGTCCTCTAATTGATCCAGCTGTAGTTGTTGGAGATGGGGATAAGCTACTCAGTCTAATTAAATCTTTTGACAAATATATTAGCTCTGAATGGTATAAACCATGGGAAAAGCATGATTGGATCATTAATGAATTGTAAGTGTGACATTTATCAGATAAACCTAAATTATTTTATTTGTGATAATTCTCGATAATTTTTTTAGAGTAAAATATAATACTCTTTTTATTCTATAAATGATGTTTCTTTAGTTGAGCCCTGAATATGTGTAGGAAATTTACAATCTACTAAAACTGCTTCCATGTCTACTCAATGGAAAATAAAGTATTTAAATGGATATAGGAAGTAAAAAATAATATATGTGTAGGTGTAATGAATATGCCTAAATAATAACAGTTTAAATTGTAAATGAGAATAATTTTACAGAAATAAAATTTTAATTTTTTGAAAAGTAAAATTTTTAAGTCGCAGGATGAATCAAAAATTTATCTGTTACAGATTACACACAGCTATTGAATATATATATATAATTCCATTCAAATCCATTACAATATATAATAACTATATGCTCTTTCGCATTGAAATATTAATTTAGAGTGAGCAATTACATAGCACTTTTTTTACTAGCGACTTCTTTAACCTCTTAATCAGGGTTCGTACGGTCCTTAAGAGTCAAGTCTTTAATTTTGGCCAAAATCAGCAGAAGGTCCTTAATTTTAATCATCTGAAATTTCTATCTGTTTTTACGACTGTTATTTTGAGTGTGAATTAGCATTTTGGAGGAATATTTTTGGCGATTCACTGACGTATATATGGTTATCTTTTAAATGGGTTCATGAGTTATAATTTGTTTCTATTTCTAATATAAATGATGGGATACTTGAGTTTCTAAGCAAGAAGTAAAACATAAGCATTTTGAAATTCATTTTTTCTAATAAAGAGCTCTTAACAACTTTTCATTTTTGAAGATGTGAATTCTTTTATTAAACAGTTCTAAATTTGTCGACTTTTCAACATTTCGGCGATTTTAAGATCAGTTTCTATAGAAACTTTTTAATTCCAAGATCCAAGAATTTTTGACGATTTTTTTAAAAAAAATCATAACATTGATAAATTTCATTAAAATAATGGTAATATATTGAAATTATATTTAAAAAATAACATTAAAACATTTTTATTTTTCGCTGTCATATTATAAAGTTGTATTTTGGCAATTTAGTATACAATATTTTGAATCTGAAAAATAAACAAGGTATAATGCTATAAAGCACAATTTATGAAACAGCTCTTAGAAAAAGCAAAATTAGCTATGTAACTAATTAAAAATGTCTTCTTTTTAATTTTTTCATAGTAAGAGTTTTCCCCATGTAATTGTCTCTGAATATTCAAAATTCTCAGAATATGCATCAGTTTTCTCTATAAAATTAATTAATTAAAAAAAGGGGGAGGGGAACTCATCCTTTTTTTTTTTTTTTTTTTTTTTTTTTTTTTTTTTTTTTATTTTTTTTTTTTTTTTTTTTGTTTTTTTTTTTTTTTTTTTTTTTTTTTTTTTTTTTTTTTTTCCAAAATATTTATGGCTTTTTGCTGTTACAGAATTGGTAGGGATAATTTTTCTTTAGGATTTTAGACATTGCAGCTTGAAAAGTTTAGAAGGATTTGAAAGATTTATAGACTCATGATTCTAGAAGATTCGAGAAATATGTGACAAAATGAAAAATGTCTCCATGGTATCAACACATAATGGATGTATTTTACTGAAAATTTGCAGTGAATTTCTTACTTTTGGGAGAATGCCTGGAAGAACAATGAAAACATAATATTTCAATGCTTTTACTTCTGGTACTAGAATCTTAACATGTTCGTCTTCCCTTTATTTTCTCTACTTTTCACTAGACACAAGCATGGAGGAAAATATCAGAAAATGCTTCTAATCTTATCACATGGCAGCATTATAGAAAAAAAGATAGAAAGGGAAGGGGGATAATATAGAAAGGGATTTTTTTATTAAATAAGAAATTGAAAACATAGCTGGCACTAAACATTTTCCCACCTGATGCAATCTCTGCAGATCCTAAATTCTGCTGCCCAGTGCCTTTCTAAATTCTGCTTTCAATGCCTGCTCTAAATTCTAAAAGCTTTGCCATTTCTAGATTTTGTTGTTTAGTGTGTCACTAAATTCTAAAAATTCTGCCACATCAGCTCTGTAACTGGCCTTTACTATATATTTCATATTTCTTCTGAATGTTCATATTACTAAACTAAAATTAGCCACTTTTTCTGAACATTCTAAATGCATTTAGTGTTTTTTAGAATAACAGAAATCCTTAATTAAATCCAAAAATTCTAAAAGGAAAAGGAAACATGTTGAAGAAAGAAACTGCGTACCTAAAGAAAATTATTCTTCAAAGATATGTGCAGTTATTATTATGTAAATTACCCAGTTGTTTATGATTTCAGCCTTTACTATAATTTCCCATTTCTATTTCCTCATATGGTAGAGTTACTGAGCCAGATTAAATTAAAATTAAATTGTATAATCTTTGACCACTAGTCCACATTATTAGATTGAATTTGACTGTTCTTGTTTAATTACGTCTCTGTGAGCTGTAATTGATTTTGTTAGCATCAGAACATGCCTTTATGTTCTAAGTTCTTTTTAAATAAGAGGCTTATTTAAACCTTTGTCTGATATTGTAGTTACTTTCAGACATAGCAATGATAATTTGCTTTATGTCTGTCAGGGATTTTGGGACTATTTAACTTTTACTAGATCAAGTACCAATCAAGTAAACCCTCATAGGTACATTTTGGAGAGGTTGACAAGTTAGGAGATAAAGCACGCAGAAACTTAGCGAGAGCATTGGTTTACTAGTATTGAGACAAATCTCTGATTGTTAAAAAAGGTGCTTAAAGAGAAGGAAATCGATATAAACTAGCCAAAATGTCTTGGGAAGGCTTTCAAATTAAAATGATGGATAAATATTTTGTTGAGTGTTGTTGTTACAAAGCACAATATTTTGTAGCTTTTTAATGTGTAATTATCCTAATATCGTTTAAGAATTTAATGTCATAAATTATAATGTATTTTAAACTGTGAAATTTTATTAGATTTTGATTTTAATAGGGCTTTTTAACAAATATTGTTAAAAAATAAAATTTAATAGTGGTCATGTAAATCCATAATGACTAAGGTTATCAAACTACCTAATTTAATCATTTGTAACTAACTGCATAGCCTTAAAAATTATCTCTACATATTTAAAGTGAGTTATTGCCTTTCAGTAATATTCACTGTAGTCACAAGATAAAATACAAAAATGTAAAAATTCAAGTAAAACTTATTTTTTGCATCTACTGAGACTTAAAATAATGCAAAATAACTTATCACCTCTGGTGCTTTAATGGCTTATTGGAACCTTAAAGTATATTAACTGGGTTACAACCCCTGAAACTGTACACGAAGCTGTGAGACTAACTGCATCAAACAGAGCCTGACTAACTTTCAACGCTTGCCAACCATGCCTACATCAGGCCTTTTCAGGTTTGTTCTAATCAGCAGGTCTCTCTCTAGACAAGCAGCAGCAATGACAGCATTCAGTCTTTTGTTATGAGTCATGCTGATTATGATCTTACTTCTCATTTTAACCTATGCCGTTTGACATGAAATCTACCTGCTACTAAACCTCTAGACTGACCAAATATGTGACAAAATGAGACCCAAAAAAACCAACATAAAGCTAACTAATTCAGAAGTCAAACAACAAAAATCAGTGTTATATTTTCAAAATTTTCACAGGACTAGTTTCGATGGTTTTACCGAACCATCATCCTCAGCTGTAAAACCACAAATGAACAAGATAGGAAATAATGATTAGATAAGATAAGAAAGCCTGGACAAGAATAAGCAAGTGGCGCCATCTGTTGATGAAACCAGAACTAAAACATAATTTCTTTAAAGGCCAAAGGCAAAGATGGATTGGAATTAGGATCGTTAACTAGAACTGAAAGATTTTTTTGAATGTGAAATGCCTCTAGAAAATCCAGTTCTCCAATGGAAGATGTTTTTTGAATAATTTTGGCAGCAGAAAAATTGAAAGTGTGATTTACGGACCAACAATGTTGGGCAACAGAAGACTTCTGTGTTTTCTTTTTTTCTAACATATACCTCATGTTCCTTGACGTGAAATTTTAAGGCTCTCTTAGTTTGGCCAATATAAATTAAACCACATTGGCAAGGAATCCTATAAATACCCCAGGAATTTATATCCGGAATGGGGTCCTTGACTATGGAACTCGGAATTTTATTGATGGGAGAATAAACAACCCTAAAGTTAAATTTCTGCAAAATATGTGCAACTTTATAGCTAATTGATAGAAAGAAGGGAATGACAACAGAATTTTTATAATCTTCTAAAACAAGAGTGTGCCTTTTAGTGTGTTGAAATGAGAATTTTTTAACTACTTGATTAATAATGAAGGGTGAAAAGCGCCTGCCAATAGCTATTGCTTTTAAATAATTTAGTTCTTCATCAAGGGATAGTTTGGAGGAGCAAACTTGAAGAGCACGGAAAACATAGGAATAAAATAAAGCTAACTTTTGTTTAGTCGGATGACATGACTTAAAGTGTGGTGGAAGGTAAACGATAACGTTGACGGTTAAAACCGTGTATGAAGTTGGAGGTCTTACATGTGACCAGAAACGGAAAGAAAATTGCAAAGTCTCAAGTTCAAACTGAAAAAGCAGATCAGCAGAATTCATTGTTGAAAGAAAAACTTTATTTAAATCATCTTTATTACCTTCAAACAGGGTAACAGTATCGTCTACGTAGCGGAAACATGCCGGGAAGTTTAAAGTTTCAAACAATTTTGATTCATAATAAAGCATGTAGATATCAGCCAGAATGGAACTGAGGGGCTTCCCATGGCTAATCCTTCAGTTTGCTTGTAATATTTATTTTGGAAAACAAAATGTTTGTTTCAAACAGAGTTGAGTGAGAGAAATTAACTCATCAATTTCGATGCAAGAGAAATGAAATTCGCGAAGTCTGGTTTCTAGACATCTTAATGCACTCTCCACTGGAACATTGGTGAATAATGATTTTACATCAAAAACAATAAAATTTCTAGAATAATGATTTTTAAAAAAAAAATAAATGTTCTAGGAGAAATGTTTTTAACCTTTTTTACAAACTCTATTGAATTTTTGTAAAATTGTAGATATCATTTCTCTTGCATCGAAATTGATGAGCTAATTTCTCTCACTCAACTCTGTTTGAAAGAAACACATTTTGTTTTCCAAAATAAATATTACAAGCAAACTGAGGGATTAGCCATGGGAAGCCCCCTCAGTCCATCCTGGCTGATATCTACATGCATTATTATGAATCAAAATTGTTTGAAACTTTAAACTTCCCGGTATAGGTTCCGCTATGTAGACGATACTTTTACCCTGTTTGAAGGTAATAAAGATGATATAATTAAATTTCTTTCAACAATGAATTCTATTGATCCTGCTATTCAGTTCAATTTTGAACCTTGAGACTTGCAATTCTCTTCCGTTTCTCGGCATTCTGGTCCACAAAGTAACACATCCAACTTCAGTTCTACGGTTTACCGTAAACCTTCATCGATTTGCCTTCCACCACACTTTAAATCATGTCATCCGACTAAACAAAAGTTAGCTTCATTTTATTCCTATGTTTTCCGTGCTCTTCAAGTTTGCTCCTCCAAACTAGTCCCTTGATGAAGAACTAAATTATTTAAAAGCAATAGCTATTGACAGGGGCTTTCCACCCAACATTATTAATCAAGCAGTTAAAAAATTCTCATCTCAACACACTAAAAGGCACACTCTTGTTTTAGGAGATTATAAAAATTATGTTGTCATTTCCTTCTTTCCTTCAATTAGCTATAAAGTTGCACATATTTTGCAGAAATTTAACTTTCGAGTCGTTCATTCTCCCATGAATAAAATTCCGAGTTCCGTAGTCAAGGACCCCATTCCGGATATGAATTCCTGGGGTATTTATAGGATTCCTTGCCAGTGTGGTTTAATTTATATTGGCCAAACTAAGAGAGCCTTAAAATTTCGCGTCAAGGAACATGAGGCATATGTTAGAAAAAAAGAAAACACAGAAGTCTTCTGTTGCCCAACATTGTTGGTCTGAAAATCACACTTTCAATTTTTCTGCTGCCAAAATTATTCAAAAAGCATCTTCCATGGGAGAACTGGATTTTCTAGAGGCATTTCATATTCAAAAAAATCTTTCTGTTCTAGTTAACGATCCTAATTCCAATCCATCTTTGCCTTTGGCCTTTAAAGAAATTATGTTTTAGTTCTCGTTTCATCAACAGATGGCACCACTTGCTTATTCTTGTCCAGGCTTTCTTATCTTATCTAATCATTATTTCCTATCTTGTTCATTTGTAGTTTTACAGCTGAGAATGTTGGTTCAGTAAAACCATCGAAACTAGTCCTGTGAAAATTTTGAAAATATAACGCATTTCACATTTAAAAAAATCTTTCTGTTCTAGTTAACGATCCTAATTCCAATCCATCCTTCCTTTGGCCTTTAAAGAAATTATGTTTTAGTTCTGGTTTCATCAACAGATGGCGCCACTTCTTTATTCTTGTCCATGCTTTATCTTATCTTATCTAATCATTATTTCCTATCTTGTTCATTTGCGGTTTTACAGCTGAGGATGATGGTTCGGTAAAACCATTGAAACTAGTCCTGTGAAAATTTTGAAAATATAACACTGATTTTTGTTGTTTGACTTCTGAATTAGTATTTGTTCGGCACGTTATTGTGTCTTACTTATAAAGCTAACTGTTAGTAAAATGTAAATGTCACTTACGTTCTTTCAAATATGACCAGCTATTATGAGAGCAAAATATTTAATGCTACTTGATAAATTGCATAAATTTAATTTTATTGTCAAACATATTAGTAATTATGTTCTTTAATTCATGTTTAGTAATAATGCATACTACTTAGGGATCTATTTTATTTTTAGGATGATGTTACAAAAGTGAAATTCAGGTACAGATAATATTTTTGATTGAATTTATTCAGTTTCCATTTGCTCATAGGTCCTTGATTTTTTTCATTAATGGTCCTTAAAAGTACTTATTTTCCATGTGCAGAAATGTGTATAAACCCTGTTAATGCCAGTCAATATGATAAACTGAAATATGGCTTTCTGTTTCTTATAATTATGATACTACTGGGCTAAACTTCTGAGAAGTTAATGTGAAGCTCAATTTATACATTGTGACAATAAAAATTCCAGATTTCTTTTGTAAGAATCAAATTTGAATATTAACTTGTATGAGATTTTCGTCTTGCATTTTCATTTAAAAACTTATTAATATTCTTAAAAAAGGTACTTTTTAATTGAAAAAATTAAAAAAGGTACTTTTTAATTGAAGAATGATCTAAAAATCAAATGATCCTTAAAGGTTTTAGGTGCTTGCTTGGATAATTTTCTTTTGATAGAAAATATGAGAAAATTAACCAACTGAATAGTGGTCATTAACTGCTTCAAGATACTGATATCAACTTCATGAATTTTATGAAAATTTTCAGATCCTGTTGCTTATAGTTCAATTGAAAATTTAGTGATAGATTTATTTTCTCGCATGGGAATTTTAGAAATGGCCTAATGTTTTACTTCATGTCATTCATTTACAATATAGTAAATACTAATTAGTATGACATTGGGGCTTTCTTTTTGGCACAAATTAATTAAAAGTGCTAAATATTATCAATTGATGGATCATATTATAAAGTTCAGTGCCTGTATTTGTTGAACTTCAAAATTCATTGAATATTGGAAAAGAAATGATGAGGATAAAATGTAAGTGACATAGAGTTGTTATTTTAGTTAATAAAATTATGCTTATTGATTCATACTATAATTTTATTGTTTGTATTCGCTAGGTAAAAAATAATATCTATGTTACTTGAAATAAAATAACATTTTATTTTTCACTTTATATTTCATAGTTTGATTATTGACATTTCTAACCAACATCATCTCATTTGTATTTAATTGTACTTAATTTTTACTTCCTTGTACGAAGTAAAAAGGAAGTATTGTAATCACGAAATGTTTCCCGCAGAATATTTCAACGAAAATATCCATTTTGACCCTTATCGAATGCAATTTAACGATGTTTTTGCGTGATATCTGTACGTAAGGACAGAATAAAAGATTCGTTTCCTCAAAAAAAAAAAAAAAAATTATAAACTGCTTTAGAATTAATTTTGAAGGGAATTTTTCGTGGCGTCTGTACGAACGTATGTACGTACGTATCTCGCATAATTCAAAAACGAGTAGCCTCAGAACGTTGAAATTTTGTATATAGGACTGCTATAACATGTAGATGTGCACCTCGTATTTTGGTTGCAATCGTCCGCACCAAACGTATATAAATACTATATTTATATATATATCAACTTTGTTACTCGGCACAGTGATCTCAGTTTCTTTACTCTTATGTGTTTGTAAATTGTACATTTTTTGCTTTAAAAATGATTGAATTTTGTTGTTCTTATCTTCTGGTTAAGGTTTTTATGCCTTTCGTAATTCTGGAAGCAATATTTGTACAATTATCAACAATTTAAAAGCTGTTTAAGTGCGTTTAAGTTTTAAATAACATGGCGGACATATTTGTTCACATTTGAAACAGCAGAATTGTAGATTTGTTGCCAATCTAGAGAAACTTAGCTTCGCAACAACAAAGATAACGCTTTCATTTATTATTACGGATTAAATCATGCTTAAACATTTCTGGAATTTTTTCGAGGAAATAAGTGTTTAAGATTTACTTCGTAATTTTTAATACAGATATTTTGAGTTTTTATGTATTTTTGCCTTGTCGCGAAGTGAGAACTTAATTAATTGAATGAGAAATACTCAATCGTCTGTGAAAAACTGTTTTTTTTTTTTTTTTTTTTTTTTTGTTTGTTTTGTTTGCTTAATTTCTTTTTTACATCGTTCTAGCTTTATTATAGTATTTGAAAAGAACATGTGGCAACGATTAGATAATTCTTTAAATGATATACTTTTTGTGCACTCTGAGTTATAATATGAATGAAATATAATACTGTTAAAGGAACCTAGTGCCAGAGTGTCGCTATGTTAAACAAATAGAGTGAATTTTAAAGAATGCCTTTATTCTATTGTGGTTTATGCGCTGTCGGCAAAGTAGGTTTAATTAAATCTAATAAGTTTAAAAGAAATGCAAGAAACAAATGCATATAATTTAATATTCCGTACAAGGAAGTCATGTAGTGTACACATCAGATTTTTCTTTTTTGTTATTTGTCTGTTTTTTTTTTTGATAAATTTCTTTTTTTCCTTTTTAGCTTGCCATGGCTACATACCATCTTTGGATATGTAAATTCTCAAAGACAGATGGTTCTTCATGCATTAGTAGAATTAATGCACAGTTTTTGCCACCTCTTTGGAAGGCCATTTACTCAGAAAAATATTAAGCCCTCTTTTCTATCTAGACTGTCCATTGGCGAAGAAGAGAAAAGTATGATTTTATTATTTTTATTCTATCTATGCTAGAGTCTTTCAAAATATATGTTTTTCATTCTTTTTTAAATGTGTTTACCTGAGAGGGGATAGTTAAAAAAATAGAAAGTACAAAAAAAAAGTTCCCGAATCAGAAAACATTTCAAAACTATAAAAAAAACTTTGAAATTCAAAAAATAATAAAATTATCACAAAAATTGCATAAAGTAATAAGTATATTTAGTGACCATAATTTTGTGGAAGCTGCCCGTATTATTTTCTCTTTTACTTCTATTGTTTTTAAGGAGGTTTTAAAATGATCATGGTTTTTCAAAAAGGAATTATGTTATGCTTAGAATAATACTCTCATAAAGATCTCCAATTTAAGGAAACTGTCATTAAATCTGAAATGTACGAAAGATTATTTTCATATTGTGAAAATGTTGTTTGTTATATATGTTTAATACAAAATTTGGAGAAAAAGAAATAAAAAAATTTAATAGAAGAAAAGTTATTTTATGAAATGTAGTTTTGTAAAGTAAACACGAGAAGGGAAAAGAATTCCCGTTTATCAAGTCTGATTTTTGTAATTTGATTTAATAAGAGTCATTTGAGCTGTATGGTTAATCTTATGACAGTTGTTCAAGCAAAAACATTTTTTACGAAAGAAAACTGTTCCTTTCTTGCTGAATAATTTATCAGTTTGTTATAGATATCATTTGTAATGTATAAAATTGAAAATAAGGCTGCTCAGTCATGCATACTAATGAAATAATTAAAAAATTATTTGTGTTTTATTATAACCTTTCTTCATACTTCAAACTGTTACCTTATAAACTTGTATATTTCTTCTTTTATCATGGTTTTTTCACAAGTGATTATAAAACTTCTGATTTGCTCACATAATTATAAACTTTTGAATTCAAAAACTGGAACTGCTTATAAAAGTATGCATTTTCTGGAACTTATGAGACTTCTTCCCTCCCTCCCCCATATACGTACTCTTTGAAAATCTCAGACAAGGTAATCCTTCGTTCCTGTTCTGCTGAGATCAGAAGGGAAGTACATTGAATAACCCTTCTGTTTGAAATCACAAAATTAATTAGGTATGTTTTAATTACAAAGTAATAATATTGTGGCATTTCCCTTTCTTAAATCCTTTCAGAATTTATTATTATTAAAATACTGTTAAATTTTCTGTTAAAACTTATACATATTTTACAATAAGTAATAAGAATCTTCATATTTAAACCATGTAGTAGAATAAGAAATTTTGTTTGCGTGCAGTGCAAAGAATGAATTTCAGTATAAAATAGAAAAATGAAAGGAATAGTTATAACGGAAATATAATATTATATTTATTCATGTATGATTTTTAGATCATGAATAGATGTAATTCATGTATGATTTTTAGACCATGAATAGATGTAATTCATGTATGATTTTTAGACCATGAATAGATGTAATTCATGTATGATTTTTTAGAGTTGTTATTAGCCTCAATCCTCATTTTTGTGTCTCTTTCTTTTCGAATAAAAGGATGTTGCCACCAATGTTATAACCATGCATTATTTTTTAAAAAATAATATAGCGAATATAAAAAATATGTGTGGCAGCACTAAATATTCTGTTGGAAATTTTAATGATATGCTGGTTTTAAATATTTTGTGATTTTGCCATTCAATTTGATATGGTGTAAGTGCAAAAAGAGCAGTATCTAATAATAGAGACAAAAAAAGTAGTGTTAGGAAGCATGACTACAAAAGCGAATTGGTAACTATGAGCTCATTCAAAGCATGAAAAACATTAACAAACCCTCTGGTGCCAAGTTAAAATCTGAATCCTTTCAGATTTTCTTTTTCTAATTTATTATTATCTTTTAATCTGTTCTTCCAATAACTTATCTTTCTCGAAATGATATATCCCAGTTAAATTTCCCCTTTCAAGTTTTAAGTAATATATTAGTATTGCTGATTACCAACCTAATACACTTTTTTGCAAAAAATAGATATATATGCCCCAAAGAAAAATTGAGACACAACTATGAAATGTGGCATGCAAATGTGTTTTGCTGAATTGTGTAACTGATTAAACTTGCAGCACTAGGTCAACGTTGTGGAACAGTGCATTGTACGTCTGAAGTGTGCAACTGGTAGAATGCAAAAGGGCAGGTGTGGCGAGTGATGAGCGTTTGCATTTGTGCTGACAGCTTGGATACAAGACATAATAATGAAAGATGCCTTTAAGACATACTTGATGGTATTACAAACAGTTGTCAGGCTTTGGGAGGGGTCATATAATAGGGCTAAAAGAGGCCCGTTGGTCGAATAGGCCGATCGACTGGCATATCTCTAATAGCATTGTTGGAACATTGTTTGAACTTGCAGCTCAGCAAAGACATATTTGGCCCATGTAGTAACTCAGGACACTCTGGACCACCAGTGCATAAGACGATCAGGCAATTAGAAGAACTGTCATGTCTGTACCAACAGTTATGCTATAAGGTTGTTCAATAAGTTTGCGGAGCGCCATCTATTCGTCAATATTAGACCTAAAACTTCGACACCATTTTCATATTTGTTCTTTCTTAGGAACACGTCAAAAGTTTCATTTCGATATGTTAATTTATTCATTGTTTAACTGCCCTTTATATCTAACGTGTTGTGCCTTTTTTCAGGTATGGATAAAATTGAGCAATGTGCAGTTATCAAATTCTTTGTAAAGAAAGGTTTAAAGGCAATGGAAATTCATACCGAAATGGGGAATGAGTTGGGTGAATCTGCTGCTTCAAAACCAATGGATTGCAAGTGAGCTAGTTTATTCAAAACTGGTCGTACCAGCCTTGAAGACGATCCGTGAGAGGGACATCCAAAAGCTGCATCAACACCGGAAATCATCGGAAAAATACAAGATATGGTATTGGAAGACCGTCGATTGACTGAAAGAGATTTAACAGAGGTTTTAGGCATTTCATTGGGCACAGTGAGCAATATTTTGAGTGTTAATTTGGGTTTCAAAAAACTCTGCAAAATAGGTGCCGCATTCTCTAACGATGGAGCAAAAACACATTTGGATGCGACTTTACCAGCAAATTTTGGAGCATTTTAAGAAGAATAAAAGTGACTTTATCTGTCGATTTATCACAATGGATGAGACTTGTGTATACCATCATGATCCTGAATCAAAACAGAAGGCTAAGGAGTGGTGTGAACCCGGCTCTTCGGCGCCGAAGCGAATTCGTATGCAAAAATCAGCCAAGAAGGTGTTAGTATCAGTTTCTTGGGATGCAAAAGGAATTTTGTTTATAGATTACCTTCAAACTGGCAAAACAATTAATTCGGATTATTATTGTAACCTTTTGTATCAATTAGACGAAAAAATTCGTGAAAGAAGACCCGGATTACAGAAGAAGAAAATCATATTCCACCAAGATAACGCACCTGCGCACACAGCTCAAAAAACCATTGTTAAAATAACTGAATTGAAGTACGAATTGTTGCAGCATCCAGCCTATTCGCTAGATTTAGCTTCCTCCGACTTCTGGCTCTTTCCACACCTCAAACAAGATCTCCGTGAAAAACGATTTTCTTCAAACAAAGAGGTAATAGCTGTCGTGGAGGGACATTTTGCAGAGCTGCCGAAAAACCACTACAGTCAAGGGATCCATAAATTAGAAGACCGTTGTAATAAGTGTATTGAAGTTGAGGGAAACTACATTGAAAAATAAAATCATTTTTACAAATAAAAATTGGTTTCTTCATTTCCGTTCCACGAACTTATTAAACAACCTTATATCATCAATTCAATAGTCCCATTTGCCAACTCACAGGGATCTGAGGATATTGATTCACAGAAGACTAAATAATGCTGGGCTCAGATCTTGACATGTGTTAAAAGACTTGACTTTGAAACTCCGCCATAAGGAGTATCATCTTCTGTAATGACACTCTCACTGAAACTATATAAAGTCCAATTGGAAAAATGTGATCTTCAGTGACAAATCATGCTTTTCTGTCAATGTTGATTACTGTCGCATACATGTTTGGAGACGAAGAGGTGAGCAATTCAATGTACCATTTGTTACCAAAGTGCACACAGAACTCGGGTTGTTGTGACAGTCTGGAGAGGATCAGCTGGGACAGCCATTCACCATTAGTCGTGCTGCAAAGTACTTTGACTGCTTGCAGGGATGTTTGTGACATTTTGCAGCTGATCGTACTGCCTATGCTAGTTGGTCATCCAGGTTCTGTTTTCCAGCAGCACAATGATTAGCCACATACCGAATGACTTTCCCAACAGTGTCTTTGATGTGTTAATTCATCAACTGGCGTGGCAGATTTCCATACCTGTCACCTTATTGAACATGTTTTGGATATTTTGGGCAGGCAAATTCAGCCATGCACAAATACATCACAACTTTCTGACCAGTTGCACCATCTCCCACAGAGGAACAATAGCAGTTTAACAGACTTCATGTCCAACTGAGTATCAGCTTGTATAGCTGCCAGGGGTAGCTTTACCACCTACTAATTTTCACATTCTTTGTATTGCTACTCTTAAATAAAATTCTTTTTTTCACCTCAATTTTAGACCATTTGTTTGTCTACTCAAACACTATACTACTGCTGAGTTTTGTATGTGGCTCAATTCTTTCTTGGATGCATGTATATATATACAGTCAAAAGTCGTTAATTCGGACACCCATAATCCGGAATGATCTATAATCCGGACCTCAAAGCTAAAAACTTTCTGCGCATGCGCTGCGTTGGCACATGCGCACGGGCGTTTTACGCGTGCGCGTAAGACCTTGACTACTGCGCATATGCGTGTGCGCATGTGCAGAATACGTTTTCGCCTGCGTGTTTAATGTATAACGGACAGTGTAAGCTAAAATTATCTAATTATCTATTTCAGTTAATGTTAATGATTGCGTTGTTCCTTAATCTTCGAATTGGATTCCGCTTATTATTTTTTGCAGACTGTAAGAGCAATTTTATAAAAGTAAACTTGAACTTTCGATTATGTCAAATAGAATTTCCGATGCTGGAACTTCCAAAGGATCTACAAAACGAAAGTATGTTTCGATGTCCAACAAACAAAATGTGGAATTGCTGCAAAAAATGGATAAAGACATGAAGAATGTGACAGAGAGGTTAGTGAAAACGAAAAAATTTCGATTGACAAGTTAGTCGGTATTCTCGGCACAGCAATTAACGGGACTTGAACAGCGGAACTTTGTAACTGAACAAGAAATTATGTCTGTTTATAGAATTAAAGAGAAAGTATTATCACATAAAACGAAGCAACTTAAAAACTTACATTGAAAGAAATGTTTAATAAAGTAAACAAATAAATATTAAGCCTTTTTTTTTTGTAAATTTTGATACCCTTTAGATCATAATTGTTCTTTATTTCATAAAGTACGGTTTCATATTTTTAATTTTAGAATTTCTGCATGCCATCTTACGAGATTTAAACTGATGATCTATAATCCGGAAAAATCGATAATCCGGAATCGCCGAAGTCCCGACGAGTCCGGATTAACGACTTTTGACTGTATATATATTTTGCAACAGAATGTATATTGCTGGTTATGATTATTATATATATATATATATATATATTTTTTTATTTTTGCATTATCACACATTGCGCTATAGAAATATATATATATATATATTAGCACATTTCTTTATAGCGCAATGTGTTTTTCTGATAATTTTCCTTTTTGTTTGCAAAAAATCTTTAAAAAAATTTTTTTTCTTTAACTATTTCTTCTAATACATCAAAAATTTTGTACTGAATATTTAGATCTGGGAACAGCTGCAAATCGCTCAGCATATCAAGATGCAACTGTTCCTGTATATGTTGCAGGAGTTTTGGCTGCTCTTCATCAGGTATTGAATTAATAAGTAACCTCTTGTTATGTTTTATGTTATGACTTGCATATAATGGTAAATAGCTGTAAGATTTTATATGGTGTTTTTAGATTCTGTGATATGTTTGTTACAAAAACTGTATACTGCAATCTTGCATAAATTTAAACATGTGGTTAAATAAATTAGCTTTCTACTTCTAAATGAAATAAGGAATTCCAAAAGTTAAGTTTGTTAGAAAATAACATTTCAGTGCTTTAAATTATTTGATTTTCAGTTAAGGGAAATTTCATTCATAAAATTTTTTAAATTTCAAAAAGTAGAATTAGCGTAATAAAATAAGTCATAACTTAAATGGCAACATTTTCCTTTCATGAAATTAAATTATTCAGTTTTTTAGGTCACTTAGCAATGCATGTACTGAAAGTTTTTTTATCAACATATAAACTGTTATGATTATTAAGAAAGACTTATTAATTAATTAACATGTGTAAGACTGTTCTTGGGATTCATGGGGAAAACCATGAAAATGCCTCTGCAGCCAGCCTGTTTGCCTGGAATCAAATCCAGGGGTTGAACTTCTAGTAGCAACTTTGTCACTTGGTCGCTGGTGGGCTAATTAATAGCAAGAATGGATGTTATTTTTATTTAAAAAAGGAAATATTGGAATGATTTCTTACTAGTTTATATTTCAGAAAGCTGTATTTGTAGAATTTGGAATCTTTAATAGTGTTACCTAATTTATATATCAAATGCATACTTAATTGAATATTTCTTCTTATTTAAAAAAAGTTCAGTTTGTGGATGAATTGATTTTTTATTATTCAGATTTTATAAGATCTTCCAGATGTTAAAGGAAGTCTGAAGGAACAAGTTATAAAATATGAAACACTGTTTATTTTGTCATTTTCAATTATGTTATTGCCATTCTTTTAAAATTACATCTATAAGGTTATGAAAACATTTAAGTGAGTATTTTAATGACTAAATGTTTGACGAGTGCTTATAATTTAGTTACTGGAAAATTAGTATTGGAGCAGTAATTTAAAAAGAATAAAAACTATTTTTAATTGTTTTTTGGTAATAATATTATATGAAAATGTTCAGGCTTGATAAGTTACTTGTAGTTTTCAAGTGTATGATACTTTTTTTAAGCAGTATGTTAGTAGGATTCCTTATAGTTAGTTAAAAAATTAGCTGTTCAGGAAACCCATCAGTTTCCAGGATTTATTAATGAAAAATTTTTCTATATGTAGTACTAATTTTAATTTCGGTTACATTTTCCTGAAACACTGAAATTGCAGCATTTTGCATTTCTGTTTAATAGTAGAATAATGTTACATCATCAGAATCACAGCTTGATCTATCAAAATATCACTTTCTAAATTATTTTGTATATTCTTCAATTCTGTTTTGAAGCATAACATTTTTTGTTATACTTTTTTCCATGTGAATCATATTTCTTAATTATTTTTATTCCCATTTTCCCTGCAGTGAAATAGTTGAATACTAATTGCCAAACAAAACTTGAAATTAAATTGAATTGACTTTTTCTTCATATTGCAATATTTTGATTTTTGTTACATTGTGCTTGCAACTCTAATGTTTATTTGTCCCTGTTAAGAATACTTGGAATGAAAAAAAAAAAAATTGAGCTTCCACCTTAGCTGCAATTCTTGCATTTCATTAAAATTTGCTCTTTATGCCTTAGGCTGAAGATAGGCAAGAATTGTTGGAATTTCTGCAAGATTTGCTTTGCACTGTATCACTCTATCATCTACCTGACTGCAGTATAAAAGCTGCTCTTGCAGAACTGAGGTATGATATTTAAACATATATTGCAAATAATAAAATAATAATTTATTGATTTATAAATCAATTAGTAAATTGATTAAATCTGTCTTATTTATGTGCATGTGATATTTCGTTAAAATAAATTTTGAAGACCCATTTTAAATATAGACTTTTTCCTTTATGTTTAGTAGAAATAATGTGTAATTTATGATTATCTAAAAGTATAGTATCCCAGAATCTCGTTGAGTGTTTGTATCATACATATTATTCCTGTGTCATAAAAATATCTAATTTTGTTGCTATTTAGAAAGACAAATGTATGGAGATAAATATGTACATCTGAAGAATAAGTTAGCTTATTTGAATATGACAAAGCACTACTGTTATTTCAATATGACTAAGAAGAGAGATGCCTTCATGAAAAACTATCCAAGAGAAACTGGCATACTCCAAATGGGAAAAACCACAAAAACCAAATATGCAGCCAGCCCATGTGCCTGGGAACACTAAGGTTGAACTCTCAGTATTCAGCAATCTTAAATACTTGTAAACTAGTGGGGTACATATAAGGAATAACATATTTGATATTCATGATTTTAGATAATATAATATCTAGTTACAATGAAAGTCTTCTGCCAAAAAATGTTCTTAATAAAATTAGGGGGAAACATGAAAGCAATATCTTTAATATATTTATAATTGTCGTTACCTGCTTGAGTCAGCTCATGTGGTATGCAGCAATTGAACTTGTACGTCAAGTTTATGTGATGTATAGCATGACTAATGGGTAATACTTGCATACTTCTTTCACACGTTTCCGCAGACGAGACTCGTCAACATCATTAGGACAGCCAGAGCATTTTGCTTCTTAAATGTCATAGTCGTTGTTTTTGAACTTTCGTTACCAAACCTTCACAGTCTTATATGATACGACATTAGTACCTAAATATATACACATGATTTGGTGATATTCTATAGCTGACGTTTTGCAACAGAACTGGAAGTAAATGATGTTTCTGATCTGTTTGCATGATAGTTAACCGTTACAACCCAATATATGTTTAGTTAATATGTGTACATAATTTTTTTCAAATTTGAATGTCTCAGTATTTTTTACCCTTTCTCATGCATAACCAAATGAAAAATATATTTATTTTCTAGAAAGTATATATTTTTGGTATTTTTCTTTCAGCACCAATAAAGCATATCATGAACTGTTGCTGTCTGTACTTTGGGATGGTGTTGTACATAATTCATCTTTTGTCAGAGTTACTGCTGGGCGGCTGTTTGAAATTTTGGTTGGTGTTGTGAGTGAAAACTTGCTGCGGACTCGTGTTACACCAGCCCTTGTTACTTTGGCAAGTGACCCAGAGATGTAAGTGTAAAGTGTAAAAAAAAAAAAAAAAAAAAAAACTTGCATTTTTTCACTATTTATTATGTTTACTTTTATGGGTGTATGGTGCATGAGAAATAATTAGGGAAATGAAATTTATATATTTACAAAATAAATGTAACATTATGAATATTAGAAATTAAATGCAAAATAGTACTTAATGAACTTTTTAAAAGAAAATTTGTGAAAAGTAGGTATTTAAACATAATTTATCAATTTTGTGTGGCACTCATCACATATTTTTTATAGTCTCTCTGTCTTCTGCCTGGCAAATCCAGAAGCAAAAAAGAAGGTTTTTCAAATAATTTGACTTCAAAATGGTACATGCAAATTTAGCAAGTCCTGGACTATCTTTAGCTAAACCTACAATATGCTATTTGGAAAGTAAAGTGGATTTAATTTATTTTATTGAGAGAAATTAACTCGTCAATTTTAGTACGTGTGAAATGGAATTATCGAAGTTTGGTTTCAAGACATTTTAATGCTCCATCAACTGGATCATTAGTAAACAGCTTTTTAGCATCAAAAACACCAAGGAGAAATGTCTGTATGTTTATTGATGAAGAAAAGAAATCAGAGAAAAAAAAGAATCTAAATAATTTTTTACTCTGCACTCTATTGGAAAGTAGTGGGAGAAATCTAGAAAATAAAAATTTGGGTAAAGGGTATGATGATGTTCTTAATTTAGGAGATATAGGTTAAAAAAGGAATTTCAATTTTTAAGCTTTGGGACAGCCATAAAATCCCAGCATACTGAAAACTTTTTCATAATAAAATGAATTTTGTTAATAAGGATTTTTTTACTTTTGTGTGTGTGCATTATGTAAGTTGTAAAAAATTATTTTTTGACACAAATTTGCATATTAAATATCATAATTTTCAGAGTTGTAAGAATTGCAACTGTTCCTGCTTTGGGGGCCATTATGGAACTTAGTTCTCAAAAGGATGTAAGTATTGTTTTCTTAATTAAAATACTGATAAAAATACTATGAGCTACTAGTAAATACTATTGACATTGATTTAATACTCATGTACATTTTTTTCCCCAATTTTTAATTTGCTATCATTTTTATGATAAGTACTACAACGTCTTAATTATGGGATATTTATTAGGAAATAATTCAGTTTTAATTTTTTTTTTCAAATTTTTGTTGATCCTATAATAAATTATTTTATGTTAATGATTAAAAGTATCTGAATTATTTTAGTCACACTATTCTTAATTTTATTAGTTTTAATAATCAGAATGCATAAATAACATAAAGGAGATTAATATTTAGCAATAATTTTTAGTATGAAATTTTCATCTTAATGTTTCTTTTTGGGCTTTTGAAAATTATAAAGCCTTCCATATATTATATTATCTGTGGTAATAAAATTTAATTATGTGAGCATAATGTGGTAAAATTTAATATGTGAGCCATAATTTATTATTTGAGCCTTGAAACTATTAAATGCCATAATGTTAATTTAAATAAAAAAAATACATATTTTATTTTTATGCTGCACTTTAGAACATCTCAAGTTTCCTCAGACAGGTAGGAATTCACTGTTGTGTTAATTCAGTCAGTTTTATTATCCTTCCATCAAGTAGACAGATCTCCAATAAATAGATCCCTTTCAAACAATACTTAGTTTTTATGTTTTTTTATTGTGTTCTCTTTCAACCTTTCAATCATCATATTCATTTTTGCTAAAGACAGTTTTGTTGCATAGTAATTGTTACTAAATTTAATGATTAGATGATATATATTGTATGTTGTTTGTTTTAATGGATAAACTGGTAAGTTCTTATTTTCATAAAAATTGACACATTTTAGACCTTTCATTTTTTTGGGGGGAGGGGGTTTGTTGAGTAGATTAAAAATTTATACTTTTTAGATATGTATTTCATACCCTTATTTTATAATTGGTGTTGCATTACTAAAATAAAATTTCGATAATTAATTACATTTTTCTGTGTGTAAATACAGCCTATTATTGGAGCAGTCAAACAACAGCACGCTTAAAACACATGGAGCACATTGGCAACACATTTGTGTTTGTCACTGTGCTTCTGCTTTTTGGTTTTTGCATGTGGTTTATTCCAATTTGAATATTTAAAATTTTTGTTATGTTTTGCATGATATCTCTCTCTATATATATGTGTGTGTGTAATCTTTCAGTATTTTTGTATTTTTAATGAAAATATTAAAGTCAATATTTATATGCAATTCTGAATAATTTGAGATTATACATTATAACAGCTCTTGGAAAAAGTGCATCTGCAACTTCAGACATTTCTTGATGATCCAATGTACTGGGATCAACATTTATTGCATGTGGAAGTCATCAGAACCTTTGCTAAAGTTGGACCAAATACAGAGCCTAAATTTAGAGATGAATGTAATAATCTGAAAAATATTTTAATATTTAGTTTTATTAATATATAATGCTATAAATTTCAAGTTTAATTTATGATTTAGAAATCTTCAAAGTATGTATTGTATGCTATGTGTTTCAAATGCAAAAAATTAAGTAAATCTTTTTCATTATGAAGTTTGTTATTTATGAAATATTCTGTATTATTTGTCATGTACAGGTTATTTCATAAATAAATACTGTGTTATTGTTAGTTGTGAGTAGGGTTGCGACCTCTCCCAGATTTGAGCCCTGAAAATTAAAATCTCCTGGCTCCCGGAAGGAATTTTAAATAAATATTGCTCTCCTGGAATATCAAGTTTCCTGAAAATAACTATACAATGCGCACAGACAAAATGGTTGACAGCATCAAAAATCACACGACTGCGCACAACAGCTAAAGAATGTCTATACATATTTTCTTTGCAGCAGCAATCTGCTGTGATTATGTGCCTTGCTGATGAGTAGTGGAGCTGGTGTGTCTCGTGCACGCTCCCTCCACACTCTCATTTTTAATACATTCTTTCATTTAGTCTGCAGTTAGCTAGCTATCTACAAACAAGCACCACACTCTCATTTTCAATACATTCTTTCATTTAATCTGCAGTTAGCTAGCTATCTACAAACAAGCATGTATTTTGAAATTATTTAAATGCTTTCATAATAATGTCTAGTTACAAAAACGATTCTGATTCTTGAAGTGAACAAGTGCCACGAAAAAAGACAAATTATTCGACGTCGTTTCAAGACAAGTGATTAACTCAATTTAATTGGCTTATGAAGAAAGACAACTTTAATGGAGAATGTAAATTATGTCGTAAAACGGTTAATATTAAGTACGAGGGTGTTGTATAACTGTACATTCCCAAAGCAAGAAACACTAATCATTAATATTGAATAGGGATTCTTCGTAACCAGTTTCGAACTTTTTTGTGAAGAATCTTCAAAAGAAGAGGACAATATATCAGCAAATGAAATTACTTCAGTCTATTATGGGATTAAGCACCATCATAGTTTTAATAGCCAGGATTGCACAAGCAAATTGTATAGCACTCTATTTCCAGATTCTTTTTTTGGCAAAAAAGATTTCTTGCGGTAGAACAAAATGTACAAGTATTTGCGAGAAAGTTGCGTACTCCTGCAGCTCAAGAAATACTTTTAACCCTTTCCGACATGCTACCTTTTAAAGTCAGAGTTTTGATTAATAAAAAAGGGTAGGCAGTCTAATTAGGCCTACTCATATATCCCCCCCCCAAAAAAAGGAAACTCTCAAACTCTCATTGCTTCGGGAATGCTTAGGCCTCTCCGAGCCTTTTACACAATTTTAAAATTTAAAGAAAAATAATTAAAATACTGTAATATTTACAATTAATTATTGACTAGAAAAAAATAATTTTTAACTATGTATACAAATAAAAATCTACAGAAATCAAAACTAAGCAAACTACGCACGATGAAAGCAAGAGGAAAAAAGGGTCTGCTCTCGCTGAAAATCAAATAGCTAAGTGAAAACAAAGCACCAGGGTCTTCAAAACCAAAAACAGAAAAGAATAAAAACAAATATAAATAAATCTATGCTCTCAGCCTTCCCCATGTTTTGAAGCACGAGACCAGATTCTGTGACTCACTCCCACGTGACAGGCGCTACCAGTACAGTGTGTTCAGTCCGAACACACCATATACTGAAAGCTTCACTATACGCAATATTTCAAAGTTAAAAATTAAAAGTAATACAGAATAGGCAGATTAGCATACGAACAACAAAATTATATAATAAAGATTTTTTTCATTGCTATTCTTTATATTAAAAAAAAAAAAAATGAAACATTTCTTTGAAAAATCAGTGTCTTTAAAAGCAGAATATATCTCAACGTTAATGATTTGCTTGTGTGGTGCTGCCATCTATCATTCATAAAAGGGATTAAAAGTAACCATTATTGTAGTTTTTGTGATATTTATTGATTATTTTCAGTGTCTAAAGAGGAAATGTTTTTGGTGTGTTCACACCGAACACATTGTGCCAGAAAGGGTTAAAAGTTAATGCTGTTCCTTATAGGCTTAGTTGAATTTCAGAATAAAAGTGATTTTTAACTTGAATTTTCAGTTTAAAACTCGCTTAAAAATGAATAAACAATATTATTATGATTATTAATGTTTATGAATTCTAAAGTTTTATACAATGTTTATTTTTATTCAGGACAAATTAAGAAAATTCACAGTGACATAAACTTTGTGAAGAATTTTTGTGTGGTTTAGCGGAAGCAAGAATAATGTGAAAATATTGCTACTTTCAAAGTCTTAAAATTAGAATCTGATTTAAGTTCATAATCAAGATGAAAATAAAACTAATAATTTTGTTTTCCGTATGTAATATGAAACATTAAACAGTTGCATGTTTGATAAATTCATGACAGCGTAATGTGTCACAAAATGCCTAGCCGCAGTAATGTAGTTTCTCTGCAAAGTGAGTTTATGGTTGCCATAAAATGGCAAAAAGGCAGGGTTGCCATATTTGGTGAGAAATTGGCCGTTTGGGAAATTGAGAAATTGGCGATATACCATACATGGAGTGAGAACATTCTGGAATGAATTCTTACTGGTTTGCCCCAGAATGTTCTCAAAGGCAGGCCAAAAGCTATATAACCCCTTCGTGCCGACTGTCACGTATACTTGCCAGCAACGAACACACTTACCTACCGGCCAACACGCAGGCGTGCCAGAGGATTGTTCCATTCTCTACCGACTGTCACGTATTTGTGCCAGTACTTTGGAACGTTTTTCAAACTATAATTTCTGCCACAAGATGGCACTGTATGTCCATATGGTTTCAGATACATGTAAATTAGACCTTCTACTCGAAATGAGAGAAGCATGACTCACATACACGTGTTTTTGATTATATAAACAAACGGGGAAATAAATGTTTCCGAATGGCGTGATTTATGACGTCTCTTTAAATCGCACTTTATTCGCACGTGGTAGTTGTTTACTGTAAGTAGAGAAGTTTTTATTTGCTCTAAAGCGTTGGGTATTTCGGTTTGCAGTTCAGTTTTTAGAAAATAATTAGATCTTGTTAGACGTGAATTCTTTGTTTTTACCGTTGCAATGTCGAAGCATTGAAAATTTTTAACAGAACATGAAATAGCAGAAATGATGCAAAATATTTCAGATATTGATTCTGAAAGATTAACTGAAAGACATTTTCCAAAACTTTTTTCAGAAGAGACTGATAAGAAAATGAGACGACGATGCTTCGTTTGTTCACATTCCCGGAAAAATCCTCCAAAATGGCAAATGAGTTATTAGGAGTGCAAGGAATGTAACGTAGGATTGTGTGTAGATCCCTGTTTTCAAATTTTTCATACGAAAAGAGAATTTTAAGTAATGTATTTAGTTTTCAGATGTATAATGTTAAAAGTCATAAAATGGTGAGTAATTAAAATAAAATGTGTAAAATATGCATTTAAACAAGAAATAAGGTAATTAAAGTATATATATATATAAATATCTATAAAGCATAAGCCGTTTAAATACTCTATATAGCATTATTAAACAATGCATTGATACTTCGGAAATTTCATGGATTTAGGCTTAGTATCAAAAAAGCCCCCGGCCCTGGAGAGACGCTCGCGTGAGACACTGCCGGCCTCAGCGATAAGCGCGCGTTTTTACTACCCGGCTCGAAGGGGTTACACCCTAGCTGTACATGAAGTAACAGTCTAATGTCGAGTATATCATCAGTGTATCGTTGAGTTTTGTCTTGAGTGTGTTGACCAAGAGCGATCAACCGAGTTGGGAATTGTACTTTAGTGTTTTGTCGTGAAGCTGTCTTCACCGTTATAACATGAAGGCTATGTTGCTGATTGTTTCAGTATGTTTGTCACAGTTTTTCAATGGCTGTAAATGTGATTTTGGAATTGTCCTGAGTAATACTGGCTAAATAAATTGTGTTTTGATTCTTCATCAATTCATTGTCATCAATCACTCCAAATCCACAAACCTGCAGAATGCAACAAATGTAATGTTAATGGTCTACAAATTTTGGAAAGACCACATTTAAAAATCTGCATTTAAAATAGCATAATTTTGTGATACAATTCCAATAGCTTGCAGAATGATCACTGTTAACACTTTAATAGTCTGTATCTTGTAAAATAATCACAAAAATGTTGGATTGTATTTATACTATGGCATCATAATGAATTGGGCTCTGTACTTCCCAAAAAAAATGAACGAAACCATCTTGAAGTTACCTCAAGAAGTCATTGTATGGTGTTATAACACCATAACAATGACTTCCTTGATACTGCTGAAAAACATAAATGGTAATCTAATACTTCTTGATATAGTGTGTTTTGATCCATGACTTTTTCTTGACATCTTGTATGTGAATTTATTCATATTTTTGTTTGTGATAATATTATGGAAAAAATATGTATTATGATGGTTTTAACTAAAGAATTTCCTATCTGATTATATATTACAGAAAAATTTATGCTTCTTCATTATGCATTAAAAGTGCTTGAATTTTTGCAGTTGTTTTACCGAGGCTAGCTGCATTAGCAGCAAAAAATAATAGTACTACAAATGAAACAAAGAAAATGGATATTGCTCTGGCATTGTTAGAAGCATATACTGCTATGTCTTGTTGCTGTATCCTTCATTACTGTTCATTATTTTATGCAAGACCATAAATATTGAATTTATATTAGGAGTTTTAATAATGCATAGAAATTTTCTTGAAGACTTATTAAAAAAATAGTATTTCATTGCAAGTTACTCTGTTAAAAATGTATAATGCAAAGGATATTAAAAAATTAGCTGTCTCGTTTATCAGAGTTTATTGTAACACTAAATAATTCTTTCTTTTTGTATACTTAATGTGTTAGCTTGGCTTCTGCAGTCTTAATATAAATGCCACTCTGAATGTTGCACTATTATTACTGAATTATATTTTCCCATGTTCTTTTTATCACCAGTTGTACTTATCTATATAGTTATAGTATTAAGGTTAGATTTTTTATGGTAGAGTAAATTCTCTTATTTGTAAATCATAAAAATTCTTAAAAGAGTGAGAGGCGAGCTTGTTATAAGCAATTCTAATAATCGCAAAATTTGCGACCTAAACCAGCAGCTGAATGGATAAGACTGTTGAACATGATTGTTTAACCCAAGTTTATATTCCAGTTGTTGGCTGCTTGTGTAGGTGTTTATATGATTTTCCATATATGTAATCCAAGTATTAGTTGTTTGTAGGAAGCTCCATGAAAATATTTCTTCCTTAGATGGATAACTTTCAAGTGCTTTCCCAAAATCAATTAAATAAATAAGCAAGCTTTTTTGCAGAAGGAAAAACCAAAAGGCAGTTGTCTTAAGGTCAGTTTACACCTGTCAGAGCGGCTCGGAGCGAGTCGCTCATTACGATTACTTTGACAATGTAAACGCTCACTTCGACGGAGTAGAAACGTAGGGGAGATGAGTCAGCGCTTCCGTTTCTACTTTGAACCTGTTTAAAAATCTGTTCGGGCAGTTACTCCGAGCAGCGTTCGCAGGGATGTCGTGACAGTGAGTTCTATAATGCCGAGATTAAGCGATAGCCAAACCATGGCATTTTTTAATGCATACGCATCTTATGAAGTGTTTTAGGAAACACTTCACTGCTTCATTAAGATGTTACATACTTCTATAATTATGTGAAATTATATTTATTTTTCTACAAGCATCTCTACATGAGGATGCAGTAAATATATGATATTATAAACTATAAAAATAAAAATGGAATTATGAAAAAATACATAGATCTGTTTTATTAGGGATATATAAATTTCTTGCTTTGTATAAAAACATTCTGGGCTATAATTCGTTACAATTCAGCTTGGATGTGAAACATGTTCAGCTTGGATGTGTGAGTGCAAGTACTGAAGGTGTATTAAGGTTTGTACAAATTATGCTAGATGAATTCTAATCTTCCTAAACTATCCGTTTTAGCATTTTAAAAGTAAAGTATAATCACTATATTTAACCATTATTAATTTTGTTGATATCACTTTGTGCATTGACCAGAAACACAATTTCAGTAGAATCCAAAAGTAACAATTTGCGATAAATATCTTCCTGTTGGAACTACAGTGGATGGACAAAAATATGGAAACACCTTGTGAAATGCATGTTTGAAAAGAAAAATTGATTTTAATGAAATATGTAGGTGGCGCTGGCATTTTTGACTACTGACGCCACCTATAAAACTTTGTAAATGTGCTAAACAGTTCAGTTGTTGTTGGAGTACTGTTATGTGAGGTTGACATTGCATTATGTCAGAGTTAACAGACTTCAAACTAGGGCAAATTGTTGGAGCACGTATGGTAGGTGCTTCCGTAAGCAAGGTAGCCGAGGTGTTTAGTGTTTCAAGAGGTATTGTTTCGAAGATTTATTCTGCATATTTGAAAAGCGGAAACATCATCTGCTAAATCACAGCGCGGATGAAAGTGTGTCCTGAGTGATCGTGACAGACGATCATTAAGAGCAATTGTGATAAAAAATAAGAAGACCACAGCTGCAAAAGTTACTGCTGAAATGAATGTTGTGTTACCGAACCCTGTGAGTACCAAAACAATTAGAAGGGAGCTTCATAAACAGGGAATTGCTGGCCGTGCTGCAATTGATAAGCCACTCATCAGTGATGCTAATGCCTGTAACAGGAAAAGGTGGTGTTTAAGTCATAAAGCCTGGACTATAGAGCAGTGGAAACAAGTAATATGGTTTGACGAGTCTTCTTTCACATTGTTTCCCACTTCTGGCCGAGTTTACGTCTGGAGAACGCCATCTCAAGCCTATAATACAGACTGCTTGTTGCCAAGAGTGAAACATGGCGGGGGTTCTGTTATGGTTTGTTCAGCTATATCGTGGTTCTCTGCTAGCCCCATGATAACTGTGTCAGGGCACATGACTGCCAAGACTTATGTGAACATTTTGGCCGATCAAGTTCATCCCATGGTACAAACTTTGTTCCCCGATGGTGATGGTGTCTTCCAAGACGACAAAGCCCCTGTTCACACAGCTCACATTGTCCAGGACTGGTTTTTCTGAGCACAAGCATTAGTTGTCCCATCTCCCCTGGCCACCACAGTCACCAGACCTGAATATTATCGAGCCTTTGTGGTCTACATTGGAACAGAAAGTGCGTTCTCGTTATCCACCGGCAACATCGTTATCTGAACTTGCCACCGTTTTGCAGGAAGAATGGTATAATATTCCCTTGGCAAACATACAGGAACTGTATTTATCCATTCTGAGAAGACTGCAAGCTGTTTTGGATGCCAACGGGTTTCCTACACCATATTAAGCAAAGAAACATGTTTTTTTAAAGGTGTTTCCATAATTTTGTCCAACCCCTGTATGTCATAATATATATATTCTTTTACCTGTGGTAATATATGTAATGCTCCCAAGTTTTTTGCTACTTCTTATTTATTTAAGATTTTCTGAATAATTAGGTAGCTATTATACAGTTTACTTCTGTCATGTTAATGGTAACTTTGAATAAATATTCCATGTGTTAATTTTGCATTCTTCTCTAGAAATAACACAATTCCAGTCAGAACTCTGCATAATTAATTACATGCACAGAGAGCTACTGATTCTGTGGATTCTGGAGGAATAAATATATTCTTTCTAATAATAAATAATAAAACACATTATTTTGTAAATGATTAATTAGGTGTAAATAAACAGTTGTATATAGTAAAAAAACTTTATTAATTTGAATTTCAATAACCACAGTTGACTAAATAACTTCTCTCAAACTGAGTTTCTTTGGTATCCATTTCGTAAAAAAACGGAGTTGTCAGTTCACTCTGAATGGTGTAAACAATCTATCAGAGTACAGGTCCGTTCACTTGGTTCGAAACGCCCGGACGAGCAGCTCGAACTGCTCTGACAGATGTAATTTGGCCTTTATCTTGGACTGTCCATAATGTAGCAAAAGGAGTCCTTACTTAGCATTGTACCATAATGATGGCAAGAAAATTCATATTGGTTTCAAATATATATAGAGTGTCAGCTGTGATGACCATGTTTGTTCTATTGCATCTTGCGAGAACTTCTGGATAACAACCATGCAATTTTTAAGACCAGGATGATTAAGTAGCACTGGTTGGGCAACACAGGGACCTCAGGAATAAAGGGCATTGAAACATCCCAGAATCAAAAGCACAGACATCACAATGTTGAAAGTGTGTGGAGAAGTATTTTGCCTTGGATTATGGTTTCATGTTTGTGTTTGTAAATAAGAATTGCAGATTTCTATTAAACTTAATAAATTGAATTTTTTAGTTCATACAGTATAAAATTTTATTCAAATATTGTGTTAAAAAACTAAAAACTGATTACTGCGGTTTCTGTTTTCATAAATGTGATGCTTTATGTATTCTAAAAATATACTTTATTCCTAACATGTATTCAAATATTGGATTGATCATATTCAAATTTTACAGTACTGTGCTTTTCCTTTGATGAAATGTTTCTCAGAAATAGTTAATCTGTTATGTTAATTTTTGGGGGCTATATAATGTATTAAAAAGCACATATTTTCTAATAGTTCTAATGAGAAGTTTTTCTGCTTATCAGTAGTTCTCCTTTCACTTGCTATTTCTATTAAATTACTCACAAATTTTATTTTTAAGTTTTGAATTATTGTTTCATTCTGTTGTTTGACATTCTGAATTGTTTCATTAAAGCAAAGTGTTTCGTTATTTTTTTCAATCTATAAGTTTATGTTAATGTGTTATACAAAAGCTATATGAGCAGGATTTATGTGTTATGTACTGTATTTTCCAAATGTAAAATTAGTGTTAGATTATCAAAATAATTTTTGGAATCATTGCTTTTTAAAATATGTTATTGAATTTCTTCTTCATTCAGTATTCATTCTCTAAAATTTAATCTCTTTTAAATCTTAAATTTTCTCATCAAATTACTGTTAGATTGCTTGAAATCTGATTTTATGCACTGTAAATCTTGTAATAAGTTATTCCGATGCATATTTTGGTTGCAAATTTTCCAGGCTTAGTATGGCAGTTTGACTTGTGTGCTTCGAGCTTATTTTAATTGTTTGAATTGCTGATGTTTTTGTAGCAAAGTTAAAATTTCATAACTGCATTTTTGCTTAAGGCCATAAATAGCATGTTCTTTTTTAATTTTAAGTATTGCTTTTAATTTAAAAAAAAAAATTTAAAAATTTCAAATAATATGGATGAAACCTTAAAACAGAGCATAGTTAAAAAAAGTACTTTAATTGAAATAAAATTTCTAGATCATTCATGAATCTTAAGCTATCAATAAGATTACTGCCAGGTAAAGTAACTCAGATTGATTTCGTTCAAAAATACATATTCATGTAATGTCAAATATGTTTTTACAAGATTTTTCTGGTCTAATAATATTAAAATCTTCCTTTTTTTGAAAAGAGATGTAACTGCTTCAGAATTTACTATATTACATAAAATCCTGTATTCTGGTACTTTAAATCTTAACTCTGTATAGTTATGAGCGATCAACTAATTGCTGAAGCATTTCTGCCTGGTTTACATTGTCTAAAATCTGACTTTCAAGTGATTGCTCATGAGTATGAAGATGCAATAAACAGTATGATACAAGAATTTGAAGCTAAACTGGATGTCGGAAGATCTGTTGAAAGGTATGTGTTCCACAGCCAATTATATTTTATTCCTCTTAGACTTTTGTGTTGAATGCTTGTAAAATTCTAGTAATGACAAATATCAGAAAATTAAAATTAAAATTTTTCTTGTCCTGTGTCAATTTTTTTAATGTGTTCTTTTGTTTTTAATATAACTAATTGTACCTCAAGATATTATAATGTGGAATTAATGTATATTAATAATGTGAAATTTATTATGGATTTCAGTAATATTAAAATTTTCAGGCACTCTTCATTAAAGGCACTTGGATTCCCCCTCCCTTTTCTCATGTTTTCGCGATGACAGGTTTACTAGTGTAGTTTAGCTTCTTTTCTGGCAATAACTCTCCTTAAAACCATCACTTGCTTGACAGTGTTATTTTTCTAATCGGTTGTAATGTACTTCACAATGTAGGATTTACCGAGAAAGATGTTCTTTGTGATGAAATATAACACAATTTTATAAAATTAAAATGTGATGGCTTTTTTAATTTCTTTCATACCAGAAAAAAAAAAGGTGTCCAAACACAAATGTAGTTTGTTGAATCGTACTTTTTCACTACTGCTATGCAGTATAGTTGCTTATGGTGCCAGGTATTAATGTCTATTGAGTTTTGTAAACTAATGCTTGCATGAAAAGAATCACAACTATGCAGTGTATTGAAACAGTTATGTAAGACAGTTATGTGCTAATTGTCCTAAAATTAAAATTGATGGACACAACAAAATTGTGGAAATGAATGAAAGCTTAATCATAAAAAAGAAAAAGTGACATAGATTGTGTTCTTTTCCCACAGCAGCTTTTTGAAAGATTTTGTCAAGAAATTTGAGAAAGTTTGTTGTTGCTGTTCCTAGTTATTTCATCTTATAATGTTAAAAGCATGGGGGAAAGAAATAAGCGCTTATGTGTACTGAAAATATATGTTTTGGCTTTAATGAAAAAATACCAATTATTTGATTTAAACTTTAAATTGATATGCTTCAATAATAGTATCTATACTTATGGAAAATTTAAGCTTGAAATGAAACAGTCATCTAAAAGTATATTAAATTCATTTGATGCTGTATATATCAAATGTTTAATTTATTATGAATGTGTATTATATTGTATTTTAAGGGTTTTTCTTCAATATAGTGAAGTTCTTAATAAGAAACAAACAGTTTGAAACTTATGTTTGTATGTTACAAAAGTCGTATAACTTTAAATTGTAGTACAATGCTACGCCAAAAATTCAGATGTCCAATAGCGAGAAGGATTATTATCAAGAACTTACATAAAACTTTTTTTTAGTTAACATTTCTCATAACACATTATGGGAACAGAGAATATGGTACTCAAGAAAAAGAAAGAATGGTGTAACTATATTTTTGTCTTGATTATCTGATATTTCTTTTGACTAGAAACATTTTATGTAATAGCATTTGATCATCTTACAAGCAGCCTTTAAACGCCTGATTGCTAGTGGACAATGTTTTCATTTTCCACACTTAAGTGGTTATGGGTGGAGGGCAGCATTTTTCTAGCTTATCCCTCATTTTTATTGTAAATTTGAATAAAATAGTGTGTCCATTACACTTTTTTTTCCTTTTTTGAACACATACAATCCCCCCGCGCACCACTGATGTTCAAGATGGGGCTTACAAATTTAACTAAAGCATTAAATATTACATGCATTCATAAAATGAACAGAAACAGAGAACAGCAGTCTAGACTTCACAAAAACAGATAAATTCACTTGTCAAGTCATGCCAGAGTTTTTCAAATCATTCTGTAAGCATAATTTAGGGCCATCAAAGGTATGGCAGAAAAAAATTAAATGTTCCACATCTTGAGGTACTTTTTTTTTAATTATTTTATCTTGGATTGAAACGAAACAGGTAACTTGCAAATTTACCATGACCAGGTAAAAACAGATACTTAGCTAAAGTGGAAAGACTCAGAATGCAGTCTATGGTAAATAGAAGGAAAGAACCTTTTGGTGCCATCAGCATTACAAGATGGAGTATGTTTCTCATTCCACTTACTAAAAGTTTCGTATAATGAAAGGACTTTCAATAGCTCTTTGGAATGCTGATAATGGGTAAATTTAAAGCATCTTTAGCTAACAAATCGGCTCTTTAATTCCCATAGAATCATGATGACCATCCATGTAAACAAAACAGATGTCATTTCTTCTATTTCTAAGCAAACTGGCAGTAAAAAGAGTTTGGGTTACTAATTTGTCAATGCTAGTAATACTGTTCAAAAGGTTTAGAGAAGAAAGAGAATCAGAACATGTAAGGTACCTTGAGGATGTTGTCCTTATTATCCTTTATCCACTTAATTGCAAAATAATTACCAAGAATTTCTGCTTGAAAAACTGTGCATTCATTTCAAATATGGTGCTTAAAATAGTAAATCTCAGATTGGTCTTAAAAAAGAACAAATACAAGGCTGTCTTTATTGTTCATTTTACTGCCATCTGTGAAGCAAACCATATGAAAAGACTTTTCAATAGTCTCTTTATAGTCGCAGAAATTTATGGGCTCTAAAGTAGCTGGATGAGGCATATAGGGAAAGGGGACATTTTCATTTATGCAGTCTTCCAAATTATCAGTTGCCAATGCCTCAAAAGTATTATTCTTATATTCACTTTTGAAATCAACCAGCGGAACTTCTGCAAGAAGAAAGTAGCCTCATAATTTAAGGTTCGATAACCACTAATAATTCAAAGAAGAATTCTTTGTTGAATCTTTCTCAGATTTCTTTTGCTATTCTTTTTTGCAAGAACATGTCTCCAAGAGTAAGAGCCATATGAAATGAAAGGCACAATACACTGTCCATACATCAGTTTCTTGCCTTCATAGCTTACTCCAAAGGTATTTTTGGCAATTCAGTGAAAACCATTAATATTTTTTGCATTTTGTAGAAAGAAGTTCAGAGTGTTTTTTCCATGTTAATTTTTGGTCAAATATAACACCAAGATACTTTTTTTCTACAAATTCGAACAGAATCACTGAGTATTATAGGAGTGATATTTTTTCCATCAAAATTGTTGGAAACAATCATAGCTTTACTCTTTGAAGGACTCAAAGGAAATTTATAAGAGATCACCCAGGGGACAAAATTCGCCACTGCTTGTACACTAGAAAGAATATTAGTCAAAAGCTTTCCATGGAAAATTAAAAATAACTCGATAGTCATCTGCAAATGCAATTTTTAAGCAGCTGTTGAGATGACTTAAAGGTCATTTATTAATATTCTCCAAAGAGTAGGTCTGGACGCAGAGCCTTGAGGACAGCCTTTTTCCAACCCATATCCTCAGACCCAAGCTGAAGCTCAGTGGTCCTCCTGTTTAAGAAGCTTTAAAGCAGGTTATATACATTATGTGATATACCAGTATTTTTTAGAATTTTTAGATAAATGACTACCAAGCATTATCAAAAACACCTTTGAAATCCAGAAAAATAAGACCTGTTAACCAGTTGGATTCCATATTGAGAGATATAACTAAAGCAAATAAAGGCATCTTCAGCAGACTTCTAAGGAGTAAACCCGAACTGAGAATCATTTTAAAATATTTCTCTCTCAAATATCAATTTATTCTACTAATGAAGAGAGTTTCAAGACATTTTCCCAAAGTAAGTAATAGGCTAATGCATCTGATATTATCAAGATAAGGAATTCTTGTATCTAAAGTTTTAGGGATCAATACAATTTGAGCTCTCTTTCATTGTGTTGGAAAGACTCCTAATGATAAACAAAGGTTGAAAAGTCCGTGCAAAAAAGTGCTGTTCACTGCATGAAAGTGTTGTATGATTTTGTTGAAAAGTGAATTTTGCCTAGGTGATTTATTCTTCGCGAGATCTTTAATAACACTGTCAATTTCTGAATTAGAGAACTGATAGTCTATAAATAAAATATATTGCCTCGCTGACTCAGTATCCATAGCTCTATGAGAATTCCTATCGTTAGGCTCATTATCTCTTTGGAAATTTTTTGTCATAACAGCAAAAATTGTATCACTAAATGACGAAGTAACATTGCCATCTGGGAGTTTGTTCCCTGAAATATCCTGATCCTTTTCTCAAAATTGGTCTTGACCCCATACTTATATATATATTTTCCAGACATTGTGAACATAATAGTTTAGAGAAAGTTTTTCCACCAGTCAAGCTTGGCTTTAGCTATTTCAGTCTTATAATTATGTCACCGCGAAGAATACTTAATAACAGTCAATTTTTTTAGTCCACCAAGAGACACCATTCTTCATAATTTTCTTCTTCAGAATTGATAATGAAGCACAATTAAAAATAATGGTAGAAAGTCTATTTACAGCATTTTCTAATGCAATGTAGTCAGAGCAACTATCAACTGTAATGTTCTGACATACTTTGAAATTATTATGCATATTTTTACAAAATGTACAGGCGCAGTAAGATGGCTTCCCCACAAAGCAGTTTCAGGGTTCCCACATTTGGCGACAAAATTGGTGATATACCAGGAGTCGATCGAGTTGACAGCCGAGCAGCGAGTGCCTAGTGGGTCATCGAGTTCACCGAAGGAGTCTCTTAGTGTATTGCGGTTAATGCGTCGTCGAGAGAGCGTGTTGAGCTCCAGGAACGACTCCGAAGAGTCGGGAGCCGTGCTCTGTGTGTCGTCGAGTGCATCGCGAGTTGTAGCATGGAGCGTCTCGAGAGTACGCGCAGTTCCGAGAACGACCGAGCAGAGTTGGGAGCTGTACTCTGGTACTTTGCAGTGAAACTTTCTCCACCGTGATAGTCTGATAACCTTAAGGCTGTGTCGCTGATCGTGTCAGCGTGTTTATAGTAGTTCATCAACGATTGTACAATGTGTTTTGGAGCTGTCCTGACAATACTGCCAAATAAAATGTGTTTCGATACTTCATCAAGTGTTGTCGTTATTCACTCCAAATCCATACGAACCCCGTACGAACGTGAAAACAATAACACAACAACTGGTGTCAGAAAAGAAAGAAAAACTTAGCAATATATTATATTTTGTATTTATGCTGATGTTTCTAAAACTTAAATACTTACTTTTGAGTAAGCATAGCCTCACAAGTGCCCAGGTGGTTAAAGGTCACTGAATACTGGGAGTTTGATCCCAGGTAAATGGGCTGGTTGTATGATTGATTTTTGTAGTTTTCCCTATGCATAATTAGAAAACAAGACAGTTTTCCTGGCAAAGTTCTCCATGAATGCATATCTTCTTAAGCAGATAGCCCTCAATGTGCTTTGTCATGCTTAAATAACGTAATCTTGAGTAAGCATAAATGCTTGATATATTAAAACATCCCTACAATGGCTATTCATGGTTCTGGACAATTTTGGTTTTCTGTGGAAGTAACTGCCTTAGGGAACATGACTTTCATGTTCATTACTATTATTTAACCCTCTGAGCACCATGACCAGTTTTATTCGGTCATGAGATTTTTTGCCACTTGTTGTATATTAGCTCATAATTTAAGATATTTTGCTTTCTTACTTTCATTAATAATACGAGGCGTATTCAGAAACTAAGTACCGTTTTGAAAAAAAAAAAAAAAAAAAAAAATAGTAAAACAATTTTTTCGAATCCAGTTTTATTTTTACATGAAAATACATGTCTTAAACTATTTTTCAACATAGTTTCTGCCAATGATCAAACACTTGTCATAGCGGTTGACCAGTTTTTGTATACCATCGTCAAAGAAACTACCCGCAAGTTTCGATAACCACGACTCCACAGCATTTTTCGTGTCATCGTCGGATCCAAAGCGCTTGCCACCAAGCTCGCGCTTCATGTGCAGAAACAAGTGATAGTCGGACGGCGCCAAGTCCGGGCTGTACGGCGGGTGATCGAACTGCTCCCAATGAAACTGTTGAATTAACAATTGAGTGACACCAGCAGTATGGGGCCGAGCATTGTCATGGAGCAACACAATTCCTTTACTGAGCATTCCTTTTCGTTTGTTTTGAATGGCACGCCTTAGTTAAAGTTTTGTTAAAGTCTCACAATATCATGCCGCATTAATGGTTTCACCTCTGGGAAGAAATTCAGTAAGCAAAACGCCTTTCCTATCCCAGAAGACAGTGCACATTATTTTTTGTGATGACATTGTCACTTTGAACTTTTATTTTTTCGGAGAATGAGTGTGTCTCCACTCCATCGATTGTTGTTTCGATTCTGGTGTGAAATGACACACCCAAGTTTCATCACCTGTCACCAATTTGGTTTAAAAAGTTTTCTCCCTCATCACTGTACCGCGTGAGAAATGTCAGGGCACTACCAAGTCGCTTTGTTTTGTGAACATCAGTGAGCATTTTTGGAAGCCATCGGGAACACAGTTTGCGATAATTCAAGCGGTCAGACACAATTTCGAACAAAACAGTACGTGAAATTTGTGGAAATGCCTCTGAAAGAGTTTTCTCACCATTCCATCACTTATCGCGTATTCACCGTAAACTTCTGTCATTTGACGATAAATTTTGGCCGGTTTAACATTCCTCGCGTTCAAAAATTTAATCACGGCACGAATCTCACAGTCAGCGGGAAAACTAATTGTCTTAAACATTTTGAATGTGCACAGCAAACTGAAAACACAACATAGAGCAACCAAAATGGCGACAATTGAAAGTCAGTGAACAAGAAAGCCTAGTGCGCATGCGCGGGACGCCTACCACAGCGCTGCGACGGCGCTAGAATGAAACGGTACTTAGTTTCCGAATACGCTACGTAATATAAATGCCATCTTGATGAATGTAATGAAAATGGGGACTAAAATAGGTAAATATACAAATTTAGCTAATAAAGGCTCCTTAAACGCAGTCTTCATGACAGATCCAAAAACCCAGGCCGCTCAGAGATTTAAATATTCATTATGAAAATTATGTTAATTTCAACTTTTTCAAAGTTAGAGATTCATACGCGAGTTACTTGCAAGAAGGTTTTAGGGTTAGAATTAAAGTAAAAAATCATTGGTTTATATAGTAATGCATTTAATGTTCTTACTTTTAAATTTCATTTTTTTTGGGGGGGGAGAATTTAAAATGAATTAAAAAAAGTTCAGGAAACATTACTTTTTCTTTCAAGAAATTATTTACAGTCTTTTTGTAGTTATAGTTGGAAAATATAAAATTATGGAAATATCAATATGAAATTTTTGTTATTTCTTAAATATTAAAATTAGTATCTTAAATATTTAATATTATGGACTGAATTTCTCTTTTACAGCCGTCCTAATTCATTATCAATATCATCAACTGGGGGCATGGAAGAAATGAGGAACCGAATGACTAAAATATTTACTTCTAGGCAAACAGGAGCAAGACCAAACATACAAAATCTGTTTCAGCTTCGTAAAAAATGATTGAAAAATACTTTTGTTTATATTCATTCTACAGTTTTTAGGAAACTTAAATGCTTTAAATATTTTTAAAGTGACCATTATTGTCTGAAAATTATCTATCTCCATCCATCTAGTTGAAACTGATACAAATACATACTGAAAAATGTGTATTGTGTTAAACCATAATTTGAATTTTTGTATTTTATTGCATTGTTATGCACTCTCAGTAAACTCTCAGCAATTAACAAATGCATGCATACATTTGTTTAAAGTGAAAAATATTTATTTCTCATTTTGTTTCTTTTAATTATTTTTGATTCAAAAATAGTATTTATGTTTTTCATTCTATTTATTAAATTTTTAACATTTTGAATGCCGTATTTCAAGAGGATGCTTCTCATATACTTATAGGTAGAAAAGGAAATAGAAATGTTTAATTATGTAAAATATTTTAATGTTAAGGTTTATATCAAGTGTTTTTTTTTATTTATTTATTATTATTATTTCCAAGCAAGCAGTTATATTAAAAATCATTTGATATGAAGACGAGTAGTAAAAATATTGCTATTTTCAAGCAAAATTTATATGGGAACAGGTTTGTGCAGAATTCCTATCTAAAGAATTAAATATTTATATTTTTTATTTTTATTTGTAATCATGACACATTTGTAGTTATTAATATAGGTCAGCTACAAGTTAGGTTTGAATCTAACACTATATTTTAACTCCTGTTTTATGAAATTTTTAAAAATGTGTAAATGAAAATGTAAATCTATATTCTTTTTTTTTTTTCCCATTTTCGTATAATTGTATCTTATTGTGTCATTAAGTAGACTTTATGGTAAAATTGTAATCAGTTCAAATAATGACTGAAATTTCCTCTTTTCTGCTTAAGTAAAATTCTGTTTTTAGCTTTTTTTGTACTAATACAAATTTATTAGTGGCGTCTGCTTTTCAAAGTTTTAGCAATTTTTCTGCCTTCAGGTATCTCTGTTTCATATTTTTGTTCCATTTTTTAATCTTCATTTTCATATTATCTCAGTATTGTTAATGTTTAGATAACATATTTTCTTTTATTGAAGACCTGATATTGCTATCTACACTTTCCTTTGATATTGCTGTCTACATTTTAATTCAAGACTAATTTCAGAATTTTTTAATTTCCTTTATTTTTTCATCAAATACTTTCTTATTTATTTTTCAAGATAGAAGGTCTTTAGCTGTATTTTAAAAATATTTTATCAATATTTAGTTTGCAAATGATTTTCACAAATTTAGTTTATTTTGCTATATTTCACTCTTGTTGTAATCTACTAAAAATGTTTATGAAATGAAATTCAAATAATTGATTTTAATCTCTTGGTTGCATGTGTTCTAATATTTATATGTCTTTTGATTTATTCACTGCTAGATGGTAAAATATACATTGAAAATTTTTGTTTAGTACTAAAATGATCCCTCTCTCCTAAAATGTAAAATTGAGCTATTTCTTAAAAAGTAAAGTTAAAAGTTTGTTTTATATACAAACTCGTTTAATTTAAGTATCACCCCTATTAGTATTTAATATGTAATAAAAAAAAACTAAAAAAGCCCTGTTTTTTTTTAAAGTTCAGTGGTGTATTATTAGTTGTACTGTTGTCTTTTCTTTCCCTCTTCCCCATTATGGCTTATACTGCTTTCTGTTGTTAGCAATGCCCTTTTTATATAAATGAAATTCATGAGTTAATATGCTTCTAAATGTTTTTAAACTTACATTAGAAGCCATAACATATTTTGGAAATGATTTGTTTAAAAATTATATTTCGCAGCTATAGAGGAAAATGTAATCAATTTCAGTCATGTATTCATTAAATTGCATAGCAACATTGTAAATTAAATAGTCTGTGATAAATTCAATTTTTCACAAATGTAAATAAATATGTAAATAAATTTGAAGTGATATTTTAATTCTTATGTATAATTTAAGGGAATGAATGAGGTTTTTCTTTTTTAACTCATTTCCTTGAATTGTTACTTGTTGATTTTCTGAAAATTTATAGTGTAATATTTAAAATTTTTGTACTACCTGAATTTTTTTTCTATTATGTGTGTCTTAAAAGAAGAAAATGTAATATATATGTATGCATATGTTATCAACCCAAATGTCTCTTTTTTTTTTTAAAGCTTTTACATGAATTTTTTTAATTCAGCATATATGCTCACCTGTCATATTTATAAGAAATTTATTTTCCTCTTTCCCCCCCCTCTCTCCAGTATGCATGCTATTGCTATTTTGAGCATGGGGCTGAAAATTTTTTATTTATTCTAGTTTACTGTTTTAACATTGTAGCAGTTTATCAGATATTGTTATAATTCATCGTGAAATATTGTTTTTAGATTTCATTCCTTTGCTTCTTATTACTATATGAGATGCTGCTATGTTTCTTTGCTAAATCAATTTTGCTTTCAGTTCCATGTTTCAGAATGCAGTTGTAATGCTTTTTTCAGTTACTGATACTTTCAGTTTTTCTGTAGTACAAAAATCATGTTAAATTTGCAAAATTTATTAGAATTCTTTTCCTGCATGCAATTGTTGCAGAATTTCAAATTTAATTGAGTGATTTAATATTGTGATATTTCTTTTTTCTTGGCTAAACTAAAAATCTGACCGATTGTCTTAAAATTCAGCTTGTGTTGTATGCATTAATTTTTTGGATCTTTGGCAGGTTTATTCAGTGTTTAAATGTATTTTGCAATGGTATAGCATAAAGCTTTTAAATAAAAAAATGCATCATGTAAAAGTAAATATGGGTTTTTCCCCTTGTTATGTGATTATGCATCAAATTTTTAGAATTCGAATAAATTGTTATAGTTTGAATCTAAAGAATTAGTTTTGAGAACATTTTTTAATCTCAGAATTGAGGAAAACTTTCTTAATATTGTTACATTTTTATCCCGTAATTATGTTTATCTTATATTGATAATCCCAGTTTACCTGTGAGATTTTAAATTTGTTATAATTCATATTGTGCTAAAATTTTAATTAGGCAAAAACAAGTTGGAAAGGAGAGGTTCTTTTATTTTACTAATAAGATACTATTCTGTAGCAGAAATTTGATGAAACTTTGTAATGCAAAAATGCATTACAACTTATGCAAATTTATTGATGTTTCATATTGCATTGAGCATGATTGTAAGCAATAAGATTTGAATTATGTTGGCAGAACTAAAATTGTTTATGTATTTTATTAATATAACTAAAAATAATTGCACTTATTAATTAGTATTAAAAAATATGAAAAATATTTAAAGATCATTTGTATTTATTTAACTATGAAACTTTTCTCTCAAGATTTTAACCTGCTTCTTTTAAATGGAGTAGGAAATTTCATTAAACAACAATATAATTTGTAAAATTGAGAAAGATTGAATAATTTAAAAAATTAAATAAGTTATACTCTTAACACTTTTTTTAATATATGTTATGAAGGAATATATTATGGGAATGAAATTTTTAAGAGAGAAAAATATACCTCTCCTTTCTTTAAATTTAGGATCTTGTTGTGTCTTTTAAAACATGTAACAGATACTCAGGTAATAATAATAGTTTAAATATAGGTCATCAATACTAGTAGTGATAATATCTGTGAAAGTCCTTAACTTTCTTGTTCATGAATGCAGCATATATTGTAATTAAATTTTGTTTATTGATGGTCAGTTTTACATTTCCAAACATTTTTATTATTTCTTCTTTAAATTATTTTAATTACAGAAAATTATTTTCATGGCTCTCCTTATAATCTCATGCTTTCAATGATTTATACTCTAGAAAATAATGAATACAAAATACGTATGCTGTGTAAACATTTGATAAGATATTGTTTTGCTCTTTTTGCATCTTTCATGCATCAAGATATTGATCTGATTTCTTACCATATCAAACAGTGAAGGAAATGTATACATTATAGATCAGTTAAAAAAAAAAAAAAAAAAAAAAAAAAATCTTTAAATTCGAATAAAAAAAAAATCTGAAATTTTTCAGATTTTAAATTACGTCCAAAGGGGCTTTTTTTAACGTTTTGAGTGTTACCTTTATTTATTAAATATCATGTTCTTTGCACTTAAACCATAAAATTAAGTTCAAGAGCAATATCGCAAAATAATGTTAAATTAAGCATATCTTTAGAATTTCCGATATACACAGTCTCGCGAGCTGGAGATAAAAGTATTTTTTTCTATATAACGTTGCCATTTCTCGCTTTTAAAGCATTGAATTTGTAAATCAAAAAATTCGTTAAAGTTTTAAAGTTTTACAAATATATAAAATCTATAATAAAACAAATTCCAAATTTGGGATTTCAGATTTCCAGCCCATATTCGCAAAGTAGGATTTCGTCATTCAAAAATTCGATGGCTCTATGTACCATTGTTTTTATCACAATGCGAGAAAATAATAGACAATCATTTATACAGATTTTTCATTATTTAATTTCTTCAAATATAATGCAGGACTCTAACATTTTGTGGCAACAGTTTGAAAAGTGAACCGACGTTTATGAGTCCGACGCAAAATGCCAAAACGAAAGCAATAGTCCTTCGGGACTGAAATCCCTTTGGACTAAAAAGATTAATTTTGCCTAAAATTCATACATTTTATATAGGCTATGAGTATTGTGTATAAGTTTTATTACATGATCATGTGTAGTAGAATTTCTTATTTACAGATTCCTAATAGTGTCATTTGTAACTTGTGAAGTTCTGTAAAATATTGATCTGCCTTTTGTACATTTTGTACATAACGTGTTTTTAAACAGAATACTATCATCATTCCAGAAGAATAATTTTGTTAAATATTATTTATTATACTGCAAAATTTTTGACATTTGTGATTGAAATAAAATATCTTTAGTAATTGTTGGTATGTATGTATTCATTTATTACTAATCTAGAGTCTTCTTTGTTTTTCCAGAATTCAGATTGTGTTGCTCTTTCTTGTATAAAAACTTCTGATCCTGAATGAATATCAAATGTGATTTTTTGACATTTAAGCTAAGATGAGATCATATAAAATCTCACTATTATTTTATCATATCAAATCTGTTTTGTTTGTTTTTATCATATAAAATGGTTATTAAGCGTATGTGTAGATACTACAGCCTCTCTGTCAAAAGTTTTATATTAATTGAGAAATTTTTTTGCAAATCATTGGAAGCACTATTCTTGTCAATTGCAATAATAAAGAATGGGTTTTCAGATCATGTAAATAGGAATGGAAAAATAAGCTTCAATAGGTAATAATGCTGTTTGATTTTTGTATGATAGGAGAGCAATGATAACATGTGCCTTTGAGGAGAGAAACGCACAGCATGTTTCATGTTGACTTTGTTTCTTTTGTAAATTTAGAGATCAGTTCTCAAAAATTGTTATAGCCGATGTAATTGTTATTACTTAAAAATGTATATAAAGTCCAGTTTTTACAAGGTAATCAGAAAAGTTCTTGCTGTTTTGGACAGTCAGAAAGAAAAAGTCATAAACAAATAATAATCACCGCTAATCCTCAAAGTAATCACCATCGGCATCCAGTGCCTTTTGCCAACGAGTGGATAGATGTGCGATGCCATCGCGGTAAAACTCTGAAGTCATGGATGCAAAGAAGTTCGCCGGGGCCTTTTCGAGGTATGGCCGATTCTTGAAGTTTTCCCATGAAGATGGTTATCCAGGGAATGGAAAAGGTGGTAGTCTGTTGACGCAAGGTCTGGGGAGTATGGTGGATGGGGTAGTGTCTCCCAGCCCAGTTGCTGGATGGTGTCCCTGGCCTCCTGAGCTACATGTGGCCTCGCATTGTCATGGAGGAGGAGTACACCCTTACAATTGACCAATGCTGGCTCTTTATGCATCATTGCCTGATGCACATATTCCAACTGCTGCGAGTACAGGCCTGCTGTGATGGTTTGGCCCACTGACAGGAGCTCATAGTGCAGCACTTAGTGACTAGTCCACCAGATACAGTGCATGATCTTGCATGGGTGGAGAGAAGGTCTCGCAGTGTGATGCACAGGGTCCCATGTTGACACCAATGTCTGGAACCCCTGGGTGTGTCATACTGAACCCACTTTTCATCGCTGGCGAGTACTCAATCAAATATGGATGCATTGCGGTCCGAGTAAACAATGACAAACAGGCAGCGACACGCTGTTGCTTGTTTGCATCGGACAGTGAGTGGGGTACGCACTTGCTCAGCATGTATGCCTTTCCTATGCAGTGTAAATGGAGTCTGATCATTTCATCAGATACCTAGAAGTGCAAGCTCACCACATGTTTGACTACTCTCACTCTCTATGGCTGCTCTCAGTGCCTCATGATCCAGTGCTTGTGGCCGACTGCTGCGTGGTGCATCACTAAGAGATATATCCTCTGACCTGAACTTCCGGAACCATTGCCTAGTGGTTCGTTCGTTAACGGCATCTTCCCCCCAAAGGCCTGACAAATTTGACAACTTGATTCTGCTGCTGACAGGCCCACTTTAAAATCATACAGCAAACAACTTCAAACGAGCGCCTTGATGCGTCCATTTCAAGCATTCTCTGTGTAAGTTATGTTTGAAGTACCAATGCACTTTTATACTCTTAGTCAATGACCAGATTCCCATCGTAACCACTTCATTGCCAGGTTTGGTGACTATTTTTATGTTTAGGGTTCACTCTTCCAATGACATATCAGAAATGGCAAGAACGTTTTTGTTACCTTGTGTTTTAGAAACACCATGAGTTTTATCCAGAGTGCTCTCTTAATCTTTATATGTCCAAATAATTAAGTCAACTTGATTCATTTCTTTTTATAATGGTGTATTTACCTAAATTCAAAGTGATACATAAGCAGGAAACTAATGCCCCATGCCAGTTAAAATGAGTCTCGGCAACAATACTATTAAATAAGTTTTGTTTTATCAGTCATTTTGTTCTTAGTGCTGAGATATTGGAAAATAAGAAATGATAGTAGACAATATAGTGGAAGAATTAAAAAGGATAAGAAGAAATCAAAAAGTGAAAGATTTCAGAATACCAGAAAAATATAATTTTGTTTCACCTATGCATATCATTATTTTACATGATAAGGAAATGGATGTGAATGAATTATTTCTGTTTCTCATGATTTTCCATTCTAAAGTTACGGTGCTGAAGTTGCATCGATGTTAAAAGTAAAATATTTATAATTACATTCAAATTAATGATTTTAATTCCTTCCAAGAGCAAAATTGCTAAGTATGCAGAATTTATTTGTCTCCTAGTAATGGAAAATTTGTCACCTTTTTGAAATGCTGTATCATTAAGTTGTTTCTCCTAATGCATCCAGATTTTGAAACAACATTGTGAGAACATAAAAAAAAAAAAAAAAAAAAAAAAAAAAAAAAAATCCATTACAAAAAAAAAAAAAAAAAAAAAAAAAATGGAAAATACTTTTAGGCATGATAAAGTACTGCTGATTAAATATTTGCCATCTATTTTTTATACCTTAAATTACATGGAGTGCAATATTATAATAACTTACTTCTACTGTTTTAAGTGCTATTCTTTAAAGCTGCATAATGTGCTTTCATCACAAAAATGCAGAATATCAGAATAATGTCATAAGTTGTGCTTTTTGGTATGGGATATTGAGCATTGCTTATTTAATGGTAATATAATAACTGCAATGTTAAAATCCTGTTCTGAGGGCTAAAACTTGTCCCTTTACTCTGATTTATTGCAAATAATGCATTGATAAATAATAATTAGATATCACCGAATGAAATAACCATACGTTTCTCAAAATTCTCTTTTCAGAAAACACTTCTTCTTTTGAATACTTGGAATTTGATAGCTATTGTTAAAATTTGAAGACAAAGAAATGCTTTGTTAAAAATTTCGATTGGAAAATGTGTTATATGTATGTTGCATAATCTGTGATGTGTACTAATATAATTCATAATTAGCATAAAATTACATAAACCTATGCAGTCAGCAACTGAAGATGATGTGAGCTAGAAATGTTCTACAGTTTTGGTCATTCCATCACTACTGAGGTTAAATACTTAAGAAGGCAGACCTTCGTGTATTTACTAATAGTCATTTCTAAGAAAAATAATGGGCAGTGAAGAAAACAACATCTGTAGTTTTCAAGAGTGTTGCCGTTTGTTTACCAAATTGAAGTGGGAATGAAATTCAAAATACTTACCGTTTTAACAAACTACTTGAAACGCGTGTGAAATTATTTTCGTTTTGATCATTTAAAAACGGTGCCTTGGGGGAGGGGGAAAAAAAATTATGAAATTTTCACGGAGAATCAGCTCCATGCACTCCAGGAACTAATATTCCTATAACTTAAATGAAATTATAGGAATATTAGTTCCTGGAGTGCATGACATTTTGTTAATTTATTGTCCATCTTTGATAGCCGAAACTAAAGGAACCATAAAAAGTTCTGTCCAGCAAAAACTTTCGAGTGTCGATTTTCGAGAAAATACTTAGATTGCAAGTTAGTTTTCTACATTGACTAACGAAGAGGTTGATCAGAACATGTACGTTTGAAGAGAGAAAACGTTTAAAGCTACTTGTAAACAAACTGATTTGGCCTGAAATCGAGCTAGAGTGGAAATAGATGTTACATACATTCGTGATGATTGTGCTTATCACAGACTAAACGACTGAAGGACTATCCTGCTCAAGAGATATATATTAGTGCCGCCATCTATTGAAACTACGGAGAAGTAAAAGATCCGTTGAAGAGGCGAAAGTGGTGCGACGAATTTCGAATTATTTGCCGCTTCGAAAATTCTCTCGTCGTTGATTTCTTTTATACTCACATCCAACTTTTAAAATTAAGTGCAAGATTTTCTGTTAACTAAGTTAATGGTAGTTAATTTTTAAAATAGCTTCAAAAACTTACATCTCTGATTGGTCCTAAGAAGGAATAATTAAAAAATAGAATCCGTACAAATATCAACGAAGAATGAGCATTCTTAACAACCTGAGTTAACATCAATTAGCA